GCTATATGACGGCGGTCTGTATTTTATCCAGCCTGAACCAGTCAATCCAGTGATTGATGTCATGAGCATCGATTAACGTAATTGGAATACCATGACATGCATCAACCAAGTCAATGAGCTTAACGACCCGATCCCGTTAGTCGCCTCTTACGGCAAGCGTGGGTTGCTGAGACCTTTTCTAACCCCGATATCACGGCGCCATCCATTGATCATGACGTCACATTTACATACATGTTTTCTTCATATTCTCTTCAACGGATTATCTTTCCTTGTAGTTTGTTGTTTTGTCTCTAATTATTGTTTCGGAAGTTCGTTATCCAACCAGCTGAAAACACCATACGAACATAAGAAGTTCCGGGCAAAAGAAAGTATCCACTTCAAAACTGACCATTTCTAACCAAGAAATCACAAACGTTATCAAAACGATTCTAGGCTAAAAACACTCTCCGAAACACTGCAAACTTTAGGTCAAAAACACAACTATGATACCTATATGAAATACGTCACTATCAAAAAACAATTCCTTTTGTTTAAGATTTAGTCATCATCAAACACGGGTGTATTCTTGGGAGATTAACCTACAGTTTTGAAGTCATGTCACTGTAAAATCGATACCTTCTTATATTTAATTTGGAACTGAGTGCTTTCAGCATGAAAGTCGTTTGATGTTTCCGATCAACGTCACACCTCTGATATTTCGTTATATTTGATGGCCCTTACTGTGTGTTTCCAATGAGCGACACTAAGTCCTGTTAATCGCCAAACAGTTTTCAAAACATTTTTGAAAAATACTAAGTATGTAATATTTTTTTTAAATGATACTCATCCGAACCCCGTCCCTCCATGTCATCGTCACGCGACTGTCGTTTATCAGTAGAAATCAAATTGTCAGACGCGTATTGGAAGTCAGTGTCCACTAAACTTGTGTTGGAAGTCAGTGTCTACTGAACTTGTGTTGTGCTTCCAGGACGTCGTTCAGTCCACGCCAGCTAAACCATATGTGATATTTTCTCGTAAAAAAAATAGGTGTATGTTACTACAAGATGCCATTGAACTATTTTCAGGAGATTATTTTGCATTGGTTTCCTATGTAAGATCCTCACTGGTGCCATATGTCAGATCCTCACTGGTGTCCTATGTCAGATCCTATCCGTTTTCAGAAACAGAAAGGCCAATCTAAGACATGGACATCTACTTAACAAAAGGACTCTTTCCGCGTTGATACTGAAATATTTCCTGCACAATTGCCAAAATCGGATGCGAGGACATGCATGTGAAGTTTTAACTTCAATAGGTCCAGTGGTTTCTGAGGACAAAGTGTGAAGCTCATTACCGGTGTCCCCCCGCCGTGATATGGCTGAAATATTGCTAAAAGCTCCTTAAAACCTTACTCACTCACAGAGGAGAAAATGTAATGTCATAAAATGAGCACACTTGACTTTTAGTCAGGTAACCTAAGAATCTATTAGTATATTTCTCAGCTGTATATCCGCTATCCTCAGTCCTCAGCGACACAGACAATAATATTGCCGTCAAATACTTCAATCTCATTCTGTAGATCCCTGCTCCCAAACATCTATCAGTGACATGAAAATCGTGTGACTACCGTTTGGCCTGTTGATTTTATGTAATCGTACCCTGAAAGCTACATGTAGTTCGTCGATCATGCGATCATCAACTGGTTTTTCTGGTCTCGTCACAATTATTTACAGGTTTGTTTGTAGTTTAACGTCGCACTCGGTGATATTTCGGCTATATGACGACGGCCTGTAAATAATCGAGTCTTAACCAGACAATCCAGTCATTGATACTGCGAGAACGATCCACGCTGTAGTTTTGGGGTACAATGACCCGCCATCAGCTCACCGACCCTGACCACCCAATCCACTTCAAGCCCGGCATCCACACAGGCTTACAGACAAACGTGATGTAGCTGGAAGATTGAGGACTGCCATATTCACTCACCTATTCAGTTATTAATATTAACACACAAAAACAACAGAAACACAAAGCAGCATGGTCAACATTTTAAAATATTTCTTGTAATCACACTTTAATTAAGTAGATAACTTGAGGTGGATTTACACTCTCTTGATAAGATAAAATTTCATAAGGATAAAATCCTATTAAAATAATTCCAGTGATCGTCCGTCCTCTACAAACGTATACGTAGTGAAGTGCACATTCTAGTTGCTGACCTAGGGGGGTGGGTAGGTGGGTGGGGAGGTTGGTGCTTCAGTGCGTTCGATACATGATACTGTGATGATGCCTATATATGTAGTTTGGTTTCAGCATCACACATGGGATCGGGATCGGGATCGGGATCGGGATCGGACACGGAAAACAAACACAATTTTACTATTCACCATACATATCTTTAACACAGAAAATATTTGCCGATCTCACTCCATGTACACACTAGTCAGAGGAGAGGTCGGGTAGCCTAGTGGTAAAAGCGTTCGTTCATCACGCCAAAGACCCGGGTTCGATTCCTGACATTGGTACAATGTGTGAAGCCCATTTGTTGTGTCCCCCGCCGTGATATTGCTGGAATATTGCTAAACGCGGCGTAAAACCAAACTCGCTCACTATAACATATAAACACAAGTTTCCGATTCCAGCATAAAGTAAACAAAAGTTATCATTAATTGCATATTTATAACATTAAGGCTTAAACATTCATGTGTTATTCTGTAAAAATACTTATAACTTCGTCTACCTCATGTATACTATTTATATCACGGCTTACTGTGATCAAAACTGAGCTTTAGTACCGTCGCAGTTGTCTCCCTTGGCCCATAAAGCTACACTTTTGTTATGTTTTTCGTGGCGAGATACTGTGTTTGTCCCCAAATATAAAATTGATTTTGCACTGAGTGTAATAACCCATATGTAATGTTGATATTGTTTAACCCTCCTGTTCAGGGACAACATAACAGTATAATATTCTGAAGTACTGTATAAAATAATGAAATTAATGTCTTTTTTGCCATGAAACACTTGTAATGATATATAACCGCAGTGAGAACAATCACATAACATCCAATCAGCAATCATGGTCCTATTTGAAACCAGGTATTCATACAAAGTGTTGTTTGATAGTCAAGAATGTCAATTTGTTATTTTAATCAGAAAATTAGATTCTTGTGCGTACATATACAATAAAGATGTTTAACATGAATCACATGAAATTAGAGGATTCACGATTTATCATTGTATTCATACATACAAAGTGTGTCCAATGGATTAAGATACAGTCAAGTATTTCAGTGCACTGGGATTTAGAAACTACAATAAAATTTTATTCATCAAACAATTTCAATAATAACGAACAAAAGATAAGAAAATTATTTTATTTCTTCTCTCTGAACATATTATCATACACACTGATTTCAGAGAGCAGACATATTACAAACTGTGGGTTTTGCTATCTTGATTGTTGTTTAACGCAGCACTCAGCATTATTACAGCTATATGATGGCATTATTACAGCTATATGATGGCGGACTGTAAATAATCGAGTGTGGACCAGACAATTCAGTGATTGAGATCATGAGCATCAATTCACGCAATTGAGATCATGAGCATCAATTCACGCAATTGGGATACGATGACATGCATCAACCAAGTCAGCGAGCCTAACCACCAGATCCTGTTAATAGCCTCTTACGACAAGCATAGTCGCCTCTTACGACAAGCATAGTCGCCTCTTACGACAAGCATAGTCGCCTCTTACGGCAAGCATGGGCAAACTGTGGATAAACACCCTAAGTTTATAAGCCTTTTCTCAACAACATACTTTCAACCAGGTCTGAATCTGACCCTCATTAATACATCTCCACAAAGGCAGGGGGATATTTCTCACCTACACCTCCTCCCTATTAGGTTTATCAGCCATCTCCTAATCATTAAATGTGTGATATTTTCAGAAGTTGTTACCATGGTTACTTCACATCATCAGGGAAATTCAATTGCAAAATTATACCCAAAGATAATTAAAAAAAACCCCGTTAGAATAAGCATGATAAAAGTTTTTAAAGTGTATTATTTACAATTTCTTACAAACAGCAGTGATAAAATCTTGTGGTGTTTTTTTATTTCACCTAATAACAAAACAGAGTAGGCCAAAATATAATGCAAAAGCAATTTTTCCCCATCTTATTTCAGTTTTTTTTATGGTAAGTCGGTTTTGTAAATCAACTTAAAAAAAACAGAGGCCTTAAGATGAACAGCATCCAGATTCTGAAATACCTTGTACTAGGGTGCCACAGTTAAATCATACCACGGAACTACATAACCGTGGTATACAGGTCCGTGATCATACTGGCATAGTTATAACAAGTTCCTTGCATAAAATGATACAATAAACATGCAAAAGCACAAAATTGAAAATTACCAAATTAGCAGGAACTATTTATAATAAACTGAACAGAAAATGCAATGCCTCTTGTTGATAAACTTAATAATTAATTTAATGACTGATCCCAGCTAATGGGTTAAGGTCACAACCAGAGATTTCATCATAGCTTTCAAGGGAAGCTTGTATCATTGCTATGGTTGACTAACAAATAATTCCATAAACTAACATTTTATGTAACTGTTATACTGACTTTTTGCACATTTTTCACTTGCTTTAAGATGTAACCAGAGATTTAGTCATTTCACCTTGTGTCAGCTTGTGGAAGGACAGCCCAAGGTGAGGCAGGTTGGGTATGATGCTAACAAGAGTGAGTGAGTGTGTTTGTGTTTTTTTTTGTTTCTTTGTCGTTTAACGCTGAACTCAGCAATATTCCAGCTATATGACGGCGGTCTGTAAAATAATCGAGTCTGGACCAGACAATCTCACCACTTGGAACAGTATTCCAGTTATAGCACGGCGTGTCAGCTTAATGTGGGAGGAAAGTCCGAAGTGATGCAGGTCTCAGATGTGTACCACTTTGGTTAAACCCACGAGCACGAGCACGGGTATGGTGCTGACAAACCTAGAAACATAATCAGGGTGAAACAAGATGCGAACCCACGATCATAGGTTTCTGGTGTGCCCAAGGGACACAACTCTGCACAGCGAATTGCGGTGCCTTAGATGACTGGGCCACCCATTTCCTCAACAAACAAGAAACAGTCATGGTAAAACTGGGATTCCAAGCCACAATCATAGGTTTCTAGTCTATCTAAGGGACATAACTCTGCACAGACCTCCATCTCGTATGAAAAAGACCAACAGCATAATCATACTAGTATACAAATCGTCTGAAACACCAAGTGACTGCAAGTATCTTGACTGCACATTGTCGCTGATAAATGTCTTTTCCCCTTCTGTATATTCACAAGGTCAGTACCGGGATAATGAGTTGACACATGATGACAATTCACTACTCCTCTAGCGGTATTCCCCAGCTTCGGTAATCTTCTTTTCGTGTGTTCAGACCACCGAAACGTTCTCCCATGACATAGTACCCTGCAACGGATATATCAGTCTTACGCTTTAGTAACTGAAATGATATAATTTTTACAGAAATAATCAACTACATTTGACTTGAAAAGGAGCCCCAGAGAGATGGGTAATTCAGAACTCTTGGAAAATCTCATCTTCCACTGACTATAAAAGCCCAGTTTCCACCATTGCCGAACTACGCAGGAATTTCCAGGCTAGATCATTGCGCGACCAGTGGCCATTATGAGTTATGTCCCATCTATGTTCCTTCTATTGACCAATCCATCTCTTATATGACTTGCATGTGCTTGAAACAAAATGGCAGCACCCAGTCAAGACAATCTGACTGATCAAGCTATATATTGTAATAAAACGGTTTTACCCCGCAAAGCGTATAAACTCACTTGAGCACCTTGATTAAAAAAAACATGAGCAAATTTGCAAAATATCGGATGACACCCAGTTGACGGTACAAATGGTTTGCAAATCCTGCAGATGACTGAAATCTGCCGTTAAATCCATGTTGCTTACGAACTGGATGTCTAGTTCGTTAAGCGATTTTGATTGGACTATGCATAGACTTGTTAGTCCAGCCAAAATGTAACTCCAGAATACCAGCCTAGTTCGGCAAGGGTAGAAACTGGACTTTTATAGTCGGTAAACGCCCTTGCCTTAGGAAGATGAGAAAATCTCGACTTGCTTCATTTCGGTCTATAGCATTACAATAAGGGCTCGACAGATAACAGTAAAATAAATTGTTCAGGGACCATGGAACAGACTACACATATATCAATAGAACTCAATGATAAGATTTACATTAAAAACTTAGTAAATAAAAAATAGTGAGGTGAGGTGAAATGGGGTTTACCATCAAATTCAAGATTATTGCATTTTTTCTCATGACCTGCCCTCCCACAATGTTTTTAATATTTAAAACATTGTTAAGAAACATGTTTTTTAACTCAAATTCTGTTTACATTTCTTTGCACACCCCATGCCATTTACAGTTTATCAGATTCCCTGGGGAACCTAGCCAACATACTTATACTTTGAGATACAGGGGGCATGGTAAAAAAAGGTCACAAGGAAGACCGGCATACAAGTCAAGTTTACACATAAGGATATATAAGCTACACTCCTCCCTCTTTACCCAGTCTGTTTTGAAAAGAATTTATGAGAAACAAGAAAATTCTTTTATCTGGCCTCACCTGACATTGTTTTATTACTGAAGTCTTTAAACAGACTTGGCAGGAAGAAAAACAATATTGTTCTCAAACATGTCAATTTTCTAACATTTTATCTCCACATGAAAATCTAAGTATCTTGTCAGAAGGTCATGTATCAATAGAGAAAGATGTATGTCTATAACACAATTATACAAAACAATGAGCAGAACATGTTATTTTGTGTGAAAATCTGAATAAAATGTATCTGTTGGTCATTAGTCATTCTGACTGATGATGGAATAAAAGTGATCACATTTGTGCTCAGTTATTTAGAAGCTGCTGTGATATAACTGTCATGTTACCGACGGTGAGGTAAAAAACTCACTCACTCACTCGCTCTATGACTTACCATTCAGCATGGAGGGATATTTCTGGTGGACAGTGTACCTGAAATCTAAAACAAGACCAATATTTCTTATAATCTTGCAGTAAGAACATGATGAAAATACATGAGATATTGAATGATTCCATAATCCAAACAATGGTATAAACTGTAAAGGAGTAATTACAAGTGGTAGTATATGCTTAGCTGATATAATGATATACATCATGACCAAGCTGATACTTACGTCACAATGACATACTTCTGTTATGATACGTATCACAATACTTAATTTGCACTAAGGATGGATATTGGAGGTTTAAAGTGCGACAATATTTCGATGCACAAGGACATATTGCAATAGACGATATATTGTATAATTTTAAATTTGGAATTCAGACACAATTTGAAACACTAGTGTATGAATTGAACAAAACCTGACGCTGGTTCAATGTAATATGTACGGATTCACGCTCCATGACACGCTAACATGATGTTGTCATTAACCAGACTGTTTTTAACTTGCATGACTGGACAGTTTGGGTTTGTTCTGTTTTGGCAATCAGAACAGCATCTTATTACATCAGTGAATCATGGCAAACCTAATTGCAAGTATTACCATCCAAACATGTCTTACAAGTGAGAAGAGAGGCATTCATACAGGCCTAATACATATACATGTAGGACTTCATCTCCAGTCTTAACCTCAACATGCTCAACAGAGTTTGTACACAAAGGACTTTTCAAGGACTTTTCAAGGCACAATATTCTAGATCAAAGACTCAACTAATACAACAACCTTAAACCTTCCCATACAGGTTTGAACTACCACATTGTTGATACGACATCAAGAGAAATTTAAAGACCATTTTGGCAGTTTCATGAGGCTTTACCTTGAGACGAGTTCATCTTGCGCCAGTAGTACAAGGAAACTGCAAAAAAAGCCAACTCAACACCCAGGAAGATCTTGATCCCACCAACAAGTCCACCCCATGGTTTTCTCTTAGGAATTTTTTTCATGGTTTTGCTGAAAAGATAATAATTTCTACCATCAGTAATTCACGGGTTTCTACAATCCATTCCTCCATCAGTGGTGAATACATAGGACTATTTCAGCTCCTGGAGTAAGGCTGTTTACAGCTCAGAGAAGTGAACTGAGCTCTACCGTGCTCAGGAACTTTGTGAGGACCCTACATTTGTCTGATACTGAAGCAATGTGTAGAATTGATGGATGAAGGCTACGACTCCATCCTCTGTATCTTCCAGTGTTCCCGTTTACCGGTATTTACCTGTTTTTTACCGGTAAAATTAGACTTGGAACGGTAATTCGTGTGTCTGCAAGTCCCTTTTGATGTCGAACAAAACATCGTTGATATTCATATAAGTATATTTTGCAAATGAAGTCAGCTTGTCTGTTACCATCAGGGTTTCCCCTTGTCTATTTTTAGTGCAAGGGAATAATATTTCGCTTTGCTTCAAGGTTAAATATTTATTTGAAGAGACTTTGTGTCAAAATATTAATAAAAAAGAGGAAATTGTAACTGAACTTTGTGTGAACGATGTGTAGATCTAAGTTTCTTTAGAGGTGAACTGAACATGGTGTTGAAAGAATTAAAAGCAGGTCATTTTCATATGTTTTTTTATTTGTTAAAGCTGGGACTCACAAAATCGAGGGGGGACTGGTAATTTTACAAAGCCAGCGGGAACACTGTCACAAAGGTTAGCATTTTGGTAAACCTACACTAACCCCTGGGTCCTTTCCCGTGGTTCTTGCGATCGCAAATTACACGGGTAACATCATAGTGTTTGCTGTGACATAAGTCACACTTCCAGTTACCCCACCAATAGTCATATCTAATTATCACATATGAATATTTCCTCAAAATATTTTTTGAAACTTGTCAACTCAGATTGATAATTTTTTACATGTGTCTTTACAACCTTATTGTTCATGTAAACCCCTGACATAGTATACAGGCCCATTCAGCTGGTAAAATCATGTATGCCCTGTAACTGACACACATAAGTCACAGTATGGTGATGAATTAGGTTTTAGGACATGATGTATAAGAGTTGTAAGGTGTAATCCATTTTCACTGAAAATTATTGAGATGGGCAAAATGCTTGTCTCCATTGTCAGACTACTGAGAACAAAATTGCCTCAATTATTTCAATATTATTTCTTAAATATTTCTAGATCAATTAACATCACAAATGTCAGGAATGTACTATCCTGTGGCCTATATATACCTGCCAATCACATATCATCTGGTACATATATTTCCAGTGTAAATGTATCGGGGAAAATTTTCTCAGTGAAAACTTTTTCATGGCATTCCTAACTCACGTTAAAGAAAATTTGTTTGTTGTTTAATGCCACACTTAGCAATACTGGAGCTATATGATGATGTTCTGTAGAAATCGAGACTAAACGAGACAATACAGTGATTGACATCACGAACATTGATCCTGACCACCCGTGATGGATCCCGTTAGTCTCCTAGCTCTTACGACAAGCATAGTTGCTTATAGAAAATAGTAGGCCTTCAAAGGAACAATCTCACTTCAGGAACAGATACTCTTTGACAAACACACCAATGCATGCTACTTGTCATGTTAAAGAGCTACTCTTGTGGAATAAAAGTAAATCCTTTGTTGGTTGTACCGATGCGACCCATGGGGGTCTGATGACACACTGCATCAACCAGCCCACACTCACGTGACACTGTCCCGGTCGTGAAATGGTCTCAACTTACCGATATAATACGTTGGTATACCGCAATCAGATTACTAATTTAAAACAAAAAATATTATGTCATCATTCGTGTATGGACAACATTAGCTGTTCATTATCCTGAATGTCACACATTTACAAATCTTTAATTACCCAGCATCAAGCTCCTTCCCAGCGCGTGAGACCTTCGTTACACTCTCCGCGAACGGGCTATCGCTGTGAGGAGCCTGACCCTGCATCAAGCTTCTCACAGCGATAGTCCGTTCGCGGAGCTCTCTATAATGTTACCGAGAGTGTAAAGAAGGTGTCACGCGCTGAGAAGGAGCTTTACCCAGCATGGATAAAGGGACATAACTCAACGATATTTATTCTTGCTATAAGGGGCCACTTACAAAAGAACGATTGCCTTGATTACATAAAAACGAATACACGTTCTGGGAATCATTAAACCGCTTCATCGATAAATCAGTGTGTAATGTTTTTTTAAATTAAAGATATTGACATGAGTGTGTGTGTTGTACTGATTTTACGGAACGAGTGTCAGAATATTTGTTGTTGCTGCTTAAGTGTTTAAGAGGTCGCCTTCAGCCTTTTGTTTTGCGAGTGAAAGTGTACGCATCTCTCTCTCTCTCTCTCTCTCTCTCTCTCTCTCTCTCTCTCTCTCTCTCTCTCTCTCTCAAACCAACAGCAGTCGGATTTTGTATTTAAATAAAAAAATCCCAGGTATCTTTTCGTTTACCATTCATATCTTATAGAGACGTCCTGGTGGTAACAGTAAAACGTATTGATTATCATCCACTGGAAATTTATCACAACAAATACATATTTGAAGCGTTAAGTAAATTCCTAGGAATAGTCGCTGTGTAATGTTCCTATTTCGGTCACTGATCCTAATTTTGACAACACCAGAGCGGAAGGTCGCTTCTATCAAGCTCAAACCATACACTTCCGCATGTATGCCACGAATGAATGACAAGTGAACGGGTTACATGTCATTCTGAAGATGACTAGCTACGGTTCAATGCCGGATCTGATCAGTAGTAGCGTCTCCATGCAAGGAGTACAAGGAGGCATGTTTTTAGTTGCATTCATATTTTTGTGCTTGCTGTGAACAAATCAGACGCGGTCCTGACTGACGTGTGTCACTGTGTGCAAAGTTTGTTTGTTTGTTTGTTTGTTTTTTCTGTTTTGGGGCCTCATTAGCATGCAAGTCTGTGACTTTTAGCGCAAGACCATGTAATTAATTATAATAAAACAAACTTGCAGACCCGGCCGAAACGTACAGTTGACAAAATCAGCTTTGGAGATTTCAGATGTAGCGACCCTGTCTGCCAGTAACTTGCACGGATTGTAAAGAAAAGTCCTGATCATGTAATTGTAACCAATTCAAACAACAAAGTCAAACCATTGCACATTTTATCATGATCAATAAAATAATATTTAGATATGTTACCACAAGGAGAGATGTATATGATAAAAAGATTATCACCATGGCCAGTTAATTGATGCCTATTGAATTTATTGAAATGATCTAGATAATCAAAAGGTTCCTGTTGTGGCACTTGATGGATGATGTGAGTGGCAAGATAGATGCAAAATTGATGAATGTTGTATACGTGTGACTGAGAATTTTTTTTATGAATGTTGTATAAGTGTGACTGAGAAGAACCTTGGGTACTACATGTACAAAGTGATGGAAACATAGTACATAAAGATGTAAACATACTGCCTTGGGGATATTAGCTATTTTGATGGTATTTTGATAATAGCATTATTGAACTAGACTGCATATCTGCTTTCCAAAAGCTTATGTTTGAAATAGATAAAAATCACAGTTGGTCAACATTGTTACAAAATGAAACTTTTATTTCTTCTGTTATGACAAGAGATATCTAAGATTATTTTTGTAAATGCCAATATAATACAGGCTATTACAACATTTAATTGTCAACATTTAATCATGTTCAAATGTGCATGTGTGTGTTCTTTATGAGAGACCTATACAGGTAGCTTATATGAGCTACATTAATGATAATGAATCATATTGTTCACTTGTGACTTATTAATATTGACTGATAGGACTCTTCATGCTATTAACAGCGTGTCGCATGATGTAAGTTGTCTAGTCTTGGTAAAAATTTGTATATTTAATTTACTTCTTCTTTGAACCTCAGGTGCAGCAAGGGAAGATGGAACAAAATACTACACATCTGTAAGACTATCATCCTTTTCACATTATTTTATCATGCATTTTGACTTTTTAAAACAAATATTAACAGATCTTTTACCATGCTTGTCTACTAATGGCGACTAATGGGATCGGGTGGTCAGTCTCACTGACTTGGTTGCTGCATGGCTTCGTATCCCAATTGCATGGATAGATGCTCATGATATCAATCACTGGATTGTCTGGTCCAGACTTGGTTATTGACAGACCACCTTCATAAAGCTGGAATATTGCTGAGTGTGGCGTTAAACAACAGACAAACAAACAAAACAAAACATCAAATAATAACTTACAATTTGAGGAGGTTAGTAATTGTCATGTTATGATCAGTTACTGGTTTTGTATGTTATCATGGTTAGGTCGCTTCATCATGTTCATGATGTTCATGATGAATATTGTGGATTTGCAGTGTCACTGAACACTGGAATTATCTTTTGTTTTGTATATTAGTTGCATCTATCTTGTTGATATATCATGTAAATGCAAACATCTTAAGCATGTGTTCAGGTACCAAGTTATGAAATGCACTGTTTCACTGGAAATGTCCTTTAATATGTAAAATATCTTAGGTTTAACAAAACAAAGTTTAGTCTCGATGTTCTGTTGATTTTCATAAATGTTAGTGTATTATTGTTAATATTATACAATAATCATCACTGTGTTTACCTACCCAATTGATTTGTACAACAACACTATTAACTGTATCAGCACTGACTAGATATGTGAAAACTGAAATGAACACAACTAACTCATACTCTTTCATTGTTTATGCACATTTTTCCAGGGGACAATCTACCCATTTTCTTCTTCAAAGGCTTTACGAGGAACTTTCTTCAAAGAGCTGTCAACAGTTCTTTCACTTAAAGAGGTACTACAATATTATTAATCAATGCTCATTATTACAATGGTATATGTGCTTGCATATTACAACACACAGAACCAGAGACTGTGCGGCTTGTTGTGACCAGCAGTGTAATATTACAAAGGGGGATAGGCTCTGGGAAATGGGCAGTCCCAGCTAGTTTGATTCAAGTCGTTTAAACACCATGAATTGGCTGCTGTATCAAATGTCATGATGTTCATCAGCCTCACAGATAATGATTACCCTAAATACAAGACAATGTCTCAATCACACTGGGCACTACTTACCATGCTTACCAACATCTTGATTCTTGACCTGGACTGGAAATAAGCACCAGTCCATGGAGCAGAGTCTCCCTTTAAGGACAGAATCTCATTAGGCCTTTGATTTATAACCTGTAAAACCTGATGCCAAATGTGGATTTTTATCATGCTTATCAGTACTGTATTTGCTGGGACCTTGGGGACAGCTTATTAGAAACACACAAGTGAAATGTGTCGTTCGAGATTCAGCAGTAGAGAACAAGCTTGGTTCAAACATCGATGAAACTCTATTTTTGACAATAGTTACTGGGCAACCATATGCCTCTTCTACACTGCTGTGTTTTCTGTAATATACTCATGAAAATATGACTGTTGTGTAAATGGTCAAGCTCTTTGATGGGTGCTAAGCATGCTTATAAGGATTACATGTACTAATAGATTGGTGTAGAAGTTTGTCAAGGGGACGTTTATTGGAGCAGGGTGCTGAGTGCGACAAACATTATACATCAAATACATGAACATGAACAGTGTTCTAAATGAAGCCGGAAAGTAACAGGTTCCTTGTCATGACAGCACAAATGTTAACTTAAAAGTTGCACAATAAACTGTCCCTAGGTTAATATAATCACAATAGCACAGCAACAAACATCAACATGACTGTCTTATGTTTTTGCAGAATGAATGCAAGTTTTTCATTGGCAGACATTAGATTTTGGGAGGTTTTCTGTACTGAAAATCTTCTATTCAGTCGATGTACAACAATACTTGATTAGCAATGATCATCACTTCAATGATATATTTTCAGGGCAAGAAGATATCTCTGTTTCTGGCTCTTAATGTGGCATGCACTATGATTCTACTTCTTTGGTGCCATTCAACGAACAGCATGGGTATGATATTTGAACTCATCCGTAGAATAAGGAAAGGCAGAAAATAGAGATTATTATGTGAGCATGTGTGTTGTACTGATTTTACGAAACAAGTTTCAGAATTCGTGTATTTCCCGAGAGCAAGGGTGAGGGTTATACATGAATTCTTACACAAGTGTAATAATTTATTAATTAGCCATTACATCTTGATCCTTTTGAGCTCCCCCTTAGATAAATGCGCTGATCACGACTGCTGTCTTCCAAAACCACAACTGTCCAAATACTTCAGCTATGACGTTTCAAGTGTGACGTCATTCTGACCTTACATCAAGACAATGACGTTAACAATAAAGTCCGGGTGACGTAAACAATACACTGGTGTGCGTGACGTGATATTTGTACTTGTGCACATACGGTACATACATACATATTAAGTTTTTTGTGATGTTTGTATAAAAAATGATAATGCAAACATTAAAAAACAAAGCAAAGAATCAAAAAAGATGTTCAACAGTATGGCCAGTCGGCTATTTACCCCTTATCCTCAGCATTGCTCAGTTTGGTCATTTCTCTACCTGCTCCCCCCAGTCACTGTCAGGTTTTTTAGAATGCTACCCCATGAAGATACGGAACGAATTGGTCTTCAGCAAACCACGCTTGTTGTAAGAGGCGACTTACAGGATCGGGTGGACTGACTCGCTGATTCTGTTTATGCATGTCATGGTATCCAAAGTGCAAATTAATGCTCATGATGTCAATCACTGGATTGTCTGGTCCAGACTTAATTATGTACAGACAACCGTCATATAGCTGGAATATTGCTGAGTGCAGAGTAAACAACAAACAAATCTATGAGTACTAAGGAAACCTTAATGGACAGTCTGAACTCTGATTGTATTTCTTATGAGAATAGAAATGTCAGTAAAATATAATGCTATTATAATTCAGTCAAACATAATTTTGCATCCTGGGACTCTTGAGGACAAATTTTCAAATTTCTATGTGTATAGGTCGCAATATATGCAATCTCATTCAAATCAGATCTTAGTTCTCGCTACCACTCAACAAAGATCTGAGGACATACCATTAGGGGTCACGTCAGAATGACCTTTCATTCGACCAATCAGAGCGTGCTTACCAGATCATGAAAGTGACAGTCGGCATGTGATTTCTAATCATGCAGCCTCGAAAACGTTAAAACGGTGTATTCCGAACGATAGTTACGGGTTTAACAACTGAATCTATACAATCTAGACCAAATATTCTAGAACGTTCTTTTGTTCAGGTTTCAATTTTTTAAGCGAGAATTTGTCAAAATATGTTTCAAAGCGTAGTCGCCAATTTGAAATTAGTGCCGTAAAGCACGAGAAAGCTGCCTTCTGATTGGCTAATGTTGACTTCTTGTCAGTACCGGTAATTCCATTGGTCAGTTAGAGTTTGCCAAAGGTCGGTCTGACGTGACCCGTAATGGGATGTCCTCAGATCTTTGTTTAGCGGCAGCAAGAACTAAGATCTGATTTTAATGAGATTGCAAATTATGCATCCAAATAATCTCTGTACAGACTTTAGAACTGTGAAGATGTTCGTGAAGCTCTGTTTGTGTTTGGATAGTTATTAGTATGAAAAACCATCTCTTTCCAGCGCTAACTGCCTTCACGTACCTGACCATATTTGACATATTCAGGTAAGTATCTCCATGTATAGTATTTATTTGTTGTTTAAAACCACACGCTCAGCAATGATGATGTTCTGTAAATTCTCTAGCTTGGACCAAATAAACCACCCCAAAAATCACAAACACTCTATATCAACCAATATTACTTGAACAACCAAATCAACATGTTATCATATAGCAGGAATATTGCTGAGTACGGCATTAAACACCAAACAAACTAAGAAATCATATGTGACTATGGTTTAACATTGTTTAAGGGATCAGTAAGCTTCATAAGTCCACTAATTGAAAATACAAATCCTAAATACTTCTTTTCATATGAAACATATCAACGGTACTGATCATGCGTACACCATTTGTACACGTTACATTCTCTACTAGTGAAGACATCTCATGATTTACCTGTACATTCACCTATGATAGACGATCCTAATTTCATCCAAACATGTCGTTCAATTTCGTGTCATGTTTAATGTTCTCAATGACATGCTATGACATTTTATGAGGTTCCCTGACCTGATCTATTGATGATGTTTAATTTCAGCTTACTGACATGTCTTTTGAGCCTATGGGTTCAGTTACAGCAGCCTTCATCAGCGTACTCATTCGGGTCAGTATACACATTTCAACTCTATATAAGAGTCTAACTTCTCATTGGTCAGTTGTACTTTGGGAAAAAACAATACTGTTGGTGGGCTGAATTTCTATGTGATGCCTCCTGCTTAATACATTGTCTTAGTTCTAATTCTATGCACTTATCACACAGACAGGCAGGCACAAGATAGATCTGATTGTCATGCTTAATACACCCTCTTTGACTCAGAATTCTATTCACTTATCACTCAGACAGGCAGGCACAAGATAGATCTGATTGTCATGCTTAATACACCCTCTTTGACTCAGAATTCTGTTCACTTATCACTCAGACAGGCAGGCACAAGATAGATCTGATTGTCATGCTTAATACACCTTCTTTGACTCCAAATTATATCCACTTATCACACAGACAGACAGGCACAAGATAGATCTGATTGTCATGCTAATACACCCTCTTTAACTCAAATTCTATTCACTTATCACACAGACAGCCAGGCACAAGATAGATCTGATTGTCATGCTTAATACACCCTCTTTAACTCAAATTATATGCACTTATCACACAGACAGACAGGCACAAGATAGATCTGATTGTCATGCTTAATACACCTTCTTTGACTCAGAATTCTATTCACTTATCACACAGACAGGCATGCACAAGATAGATCTGATTGTCATGCTTAATACACCTTCTTTGACTCCAAATTCTATTCACTTATCACTCAGACAGGCAGGCACAAAATAGATCTGATTGTCATGCTTAATACACCTTCTTTGACTCCAAATTATATCCACTTATCACACAGACAGGCAGGCACAAGATAGATCTGATTGTCATGCTTAATACACCCTCTTTGACTCCAAACTCTATTCACTTATCACTCAGACAGGCAGGCACAAGATAGATCTGATTGTCATGCTTAATACACCCTCTTTGACTCCAAACTCTATTCACTTATCACTCAGACAGGCAGGCACAAGATAGATCTGATTGTCATGCTTAATACACCCTCTTTGACTCCAAACTCTATTCACTTATCACACAGACAGGCAGGCACAAGATAGATCTGATTGTCATGCTTAGTACACCATCTTTGACTCAGAATTCTATTCACTTATCACACTGACAGACAGGCACAAGATAGATCTGATTGTCATGCTTAATACACCCTCTTTGACTCCAAATTCTATTCACTTATCACACAGACAGGCAGGCACAAGATAGATCTGATTGTCATGCTTAATACACCCTCTTTGACTCCAAATTCTATTCACTTATCACACAGACAGGCAGGCACAAGATAGATCTGATTGTCATGCTTAATACACCCTCTTTGACGCCAAATTCTATTCACTTATCACACAGACAGGCAGACACAAGATAGATCTGATTGTCATGCTTAATACACCCTCTTTGACTCCAAACTCTATTCACTTATCACACAGACAGGCATGCACAAGATAGATCTGATTGTCATGAAACACTGGAATAGTTCATAAATAACATGGTTCATTACATGTGTCCACATGGTCATTGTTGGAGAGTACATGACCAGCATAGGTTGCTGGGGCCTTTAAGTCGGGAATGCAAACTACTCACTTCTGTATCAATGCACTATGTTTCTACACCTGAGTTTATGATACATGATATGCCTTCATCATGTACATATGTATCAATTCATGTTTTGGTTCTGTGTTGACAGTGGTTCGATCCCCTGGCAATGTGATACCAAAGGATGGCACTTGTTGTTACCCTGCCTGGTGTTCAGCATGAACACTGATAAAGGGGATAGAATAAGGCCTGGTCAGTTTTGAGTCAGTATACTGTGTCTGACTCATAATTCAGTGGGCTATCACTATAAAACCAGTGAAAGTCTGGTACATGCACACACGACATATCTCTATATAAGTGAAACAATCTTGAATCGACCTTCCTCCATTTCACCTCAGATCATTTTCCTTTTGATAGAAGCCCACTGGTTGATGTATTTGCTTGTACTTCATGTCTAGGTATGAACGGTTTGAGGTTGTGGCTGTGTTTGCAAGCACCATGTTGGCCCAGCTGGGATCATTCTTTATTGTCAAAGAAAGGTAAGTAACCATGGTAACAAGACATTACATTTATCATGTTTCCACCCCTGCTGAACTTGGCTGGAATTTCCAGGCTAGTTGTAGCGCCACCACTGGCTATTACGAGTTATATCCCATCTATGTCCCTCCTATTGACCAATCAGATTACATCTTTCGCATGACTTCCATTTCCTTCAAACAAACTGGCGGCGCCCAGTCAAGATGATCTTATCGATAATCAAGACCTGTTTTGTAAAAAAACACGAAAAGATTTGGAAAATCTCTGTTGACGCCCAGTTGACAGCACACATGCTCTCCTGCAATCAACCAAAATCTGCATGGCAGTCGCCATGTTTTTTAGCAGCTTTGCATAGATTCATTGCTCCAGCCAAAATATAACTCCATAATTGACGCCTAGTTTGGCAAGGGTTAAAACTGGACTTTTTTAGTCAGTTAACTCCCTTGTACCAGGAAGATGGAAAGACATGGACTTGTATGAACCTATGTATTTGTGTTGCTGAACTTGTCTCATGAGATTGCTTATCTTTCCTGTCTCAAACATTGATGTTTCAACACATTCTTTCAGTGTGGAGTGTCTTCTACAGCAGCATGAGGTGCATACGTAAGTACACCATTTACCAGGAATCCTGAACACATGTGAGATGCATATCCATGTGATTGATAGCTCTTAAGACGTTTTCTCTGAAAATTGATAAAAAAAATCATGTAAGGCCATGGACATGATGGAAGTATTTTAGAAAATTTCTCTTTATGTATGTAATTCAGACTTACAATCAGAAAGAGCGAATAAGAAGATCGAGGTTTGTTAAAATCATCATTATCAGCACTCAACATTGTTATCGTAAGCGATGTTGTTTTGTTTGGGGTTTTGTCCTAGAAACTTTTGCACCAATTTTTCTACAACTCACCAAAAATAAGTGTACCAAAATAGTACCAAAATAAGTGTCATAAATTATTTGAGGTGAGCTACTGGGCTTTGTGGCTCAGTTATTGATACCTTTAGACACACCAAACATGCTCTCTTTCACCAGAGGTCGAATGTTGGTTGGCACAGTGCTGGCATGCGTGATCCACTTCCTGGTGACGTTTGGAGTGAACAACCGAGCCATGAACCACGTGGTAGCGGCATCCAGTTCCAGCTGGCTTCAGGAGCACATGACCGACATGAGCGAGAGGTAGGAGGCAGGATCGGGGTTCATTTCATGTGGCACTGTTTGTTCATAGTTTCTCTTAAAGATATTTATGTTGTCTTACATCGTTTTCATTACTAATGCTTGAGGTAAGGGCTGTCTGAAACAAGATGTTCACAATGTGATACGTGGCTGGTTGTGTTTCATGGTACCCAAATTACATGGGTTGTTTCTTTGGCTGTCATGGGGCGGTCGGGTAGCCTTGTGGTTAAAGCGTTTGCTCGTCACACTGAAGACCCGGGTTCGATTCCCAACATGGGTATAATGTGTGTAGCCCATTTCTGGTGTCCCCCGCCGTGATATTGCTGGAATATTGCTAAAAGCGGCGTAAAACCATACTCACTCACTTTGGTTGTCATTGTATTAACCACTGGTTTGCCTGGCCCAGAATCTGTATACATGCCCCTTTAATGAAGCAGGAATATGCCTGACAGTGTTGTGTGGGAAAAAACTAAAAAAATGTTTGCTTTGTTATCCAATTAAATGCCCTAGAATCGCTGACTGTTTATTTATTGTTCTGTGAACATGGCTACATGTATATTGCAGCCTGTGTCACATCGTCCCTGGCCTGAGTAAATTGTTGCTGCCGCGTCTCAACCCCTTCGTCCTGATCGCCATGGCTGGAGCAACCTTCCTGGTCATCACCTACATACTCATCGACACCAAGTAAGACTCCCCGTCATCTTGTAGCTTTTTAGTCTTTCATGTGTCTGTAGATTTCCCTAATGGTTAGCCAGGATAAGTTCAGCTGTGACCTGACAATTAACCCTGTATGACTATGTATGAGGTCAGCCCACTGGCACACTAGTGTGAAGAAAGGGGTAGTAGGTGGTCCTGGACAAGTAGTATGATGGATATGTGCATGCCTTGTCTCGGCTAACAAGGAGTTCTAGTGGCCAGTTCAATATCTCAGAATAGTATGAACTGATGTGAGGTACCCGATGACTGTGAAAAGGGTGACAGCAAATTTACATAGATAACAACAATTGAGAAGTATCGTGACAATGAAGGGAATTCATTTGCTGTAAAAATGGAATACTTTTTTTTTTTTTACCCCAGAGAGCAATAATGAATAGTGTCAAGTCATTCATCAAAGGGGGCATGGGTGGCCCAGTCGTCTAAAGCCCCGCTATTTGCTGTGCAGAGTTGCGTCCCTCAGGCACGCCAGAAACCTATGATTGTTGGTTCGAATCCCGGTTCGCCCCGAGTTTAGTCTAGTTTTGTCAGCACCATACCCGTGCTCATGGGTTTCACCGAAGTGGTCAACGTCTAAGACCTGCATCACTTTGGGCTTTCCTCCCACATTAAGCTGACACGCCGCGATATAACTGGAATACTGTTAAAAGCGGCATTAAACCCAACTCACTCACTCACTCATTCATCAAATGATTGTGAAGGTTGAGACCTTAATGTAGTGATAGTTGGCTTAATGACTAAAATTAATAGTGGTAGAAATGGTAATAAGGATTTCACAGTATTAAGCTGCTCAATGTATCTGCAGTCGGCAGGGAGGCAGATGAAATATAGAAGAGAAGCATGTAAAACCCTGTCACCCTATACAGGGCAGTGGGGTAGTCAAGTGGTTAAACCATTCCCTCGTCATGATGAACTCTTGGATTCATGGGCACAATGCATGACACCCATCAATGGTCCCTGCCATGATTTTGCTAGAATATATCAATGAATATAAACACTACTCCTTCAAAAAAGCTGTAAATGCTTTTGAGAACTTGGGTATTTTCTAAATCATAATGCAATGTATTTCAATATTAACACTGTTTACATTCATTCACCTACATCCACCAGTCATAACAAGTCTGATGCACACACATGTGGCAGTTAGCATGTGGTTTGTTAGGCCATAAGAAATTAATTTTCAATTTTCATCAAGCCTCAACACCAAACAACCCACCTAACAATGTTCCTTACGTACTTTACGTGAAAATGTTCCTAACGCACTTTACGTGATAAAATATTTGAAACTGTATTTGAATATTACCACTGTTCCAGACTGTACTACTCTGCCGACACGATGTCTGCTGTGTGTATAGCCATCATGACATGCGGGACTCTGTTCCCCATGAGTGTCTACACTGGCAAGATACTGCTACAGGTAGGTCACGTCCGTCTCAGTGGTCATGATAACAGGAAGAATCTACTCCTGTCTGCTCCAATTTCTCCAATATCGAGTTTTCATAACTAGTGAGACACCAAGGGACATAACTCTTGCTAGAATGCCATGATTGCCCTGATTATGTTATTGAATGTTACATTTACAGCTCGAACAAGAAGAATTAGACAGTTTTCTTGTCTGGTAATGAGATGACATTTTAAGAATTTTCATACCTCGTCATCATGTGTTCATATGACCAAAGTCGCTTGAATATTTTTATCTCACCGATTTTGAAAAACTGGGGGATATATCATCTCCATCAGTCGATCTGTCCATGTTCTGATTCCGGAGCAGAACTCCAAAGCCGTTAAATATTTTGTGTTGAAACTTTCTACATAGATCAGTCTAGTTTGGAACTGGTGCCTTTTGATGATTCGGGATTATGTTTTGTTTTGAGTATTTATCATGATGACAACAACCTCTTTTCTGTTTCTGGAGCAGAACTCCAAAACTGTTAAATATTTCTTTTTGAAACTTGCTATGTAGATCAGTCTCGTGGCTATTGATTATTTGGACTTTCAGTTTATTTTGTTTTTTTCATGACAAGTCCGACTTGTAATGAAAGTGAGCGTAGTGCTCGTTTCTGGAGTAGAATTCCAAAACCGTTTACTATTTCTTGATGAAACTTGCTGTACAAATCAGTCTAGTGATGGACTGGTACCTTCTGATGATTTGAGATTTTGAAAAATACTGAACAGCATTATTTTTTTCTTTATTGACCTGAAGGTATCTAATGGCAGAGAACCAAAAGTGGGGTATAAGTAGCCAAACTCCATTGCACCAGACCGAGGGGATATGTCATCTCCTGATGGCTCTTGTTATAATATAGGTCTGCAATTTTGCATTGTTGACATGATTGAATAGCTTAATCTTTATCTTAATGTATAATGTATATGACATGATGGCTTCACATAATTGGTATGCCGTGGGGATTCCGGGGTTTAATTACATGCAATATTTTAGATGTTGACCATGCTGCTTTGAGTTTCTGTTTGTTTTTTGTGTGTTAATATAAATAACTGTGGGTGAATATGGTGGTCATCAATCCAGTCGTCTAAGGCGCCGCGATTCGCTGTGCAGAGTTGCGTCCCCTGGACACGCCAAAAACCTATGATTGTTGGTTCAAATCCCGGTTCACCCTGATTAGGTTTCTAGGTTTGTCAGCACCATACCCGTGCTCGTGGGTTTCACCGAAGTGGTCAACGTCTGAGACCTGCATCACTTCGGGCTTTCCTCCCACATTAAGCTGACACGCCGCGATATAACTGGAATAATGTTAAAAGCAGCGTTAAACCCAACTCACTCACTCACTCACTCATCAATCTTCCAGCTACATCACGTTTGTCTGTAAACCGGTGAGCATTCCTAGTTAGAAATGGTACCTAGCAACCTATGCTTGTCGTAAGAGGAGTCTACATGAGTCGGGTGATCAGGCTCGATGACTTGGTTGATAGTGTGTCATTGTAGCCTGACAGCAACTCACTCACCTGGAAGTGCGTGTTGATGAGCTGCTGAGCATTAAAATTTGTCTACTCTATACATGTCTAGACCACCCCGTCTCACATCCTGGGTCAACTGGACAAGGTCCTGAGGGAAGCGTCCACCTTGGATGGCGTTCTGGAGTTCCGACATGAACACTTCTGGACATTGTCATTTGGAATCCTGGTAATCCCATCCTATGTGATTTCATGTATATCTTTGTTTGTCATGTCCTTTAATTGATTCCATGGAAGATAGATCTCTTACGGGAGTTATGAAGTTTGTGCAAAAAGTGAACACTGTCATTCGGTCAATTGTTGATACTCCACACTAAATCATAGTATTCAACTTACTTGGATTTGGAAGATGACTGAGGTAGTGTTTTTAGATTGAGTGAACCCTGGTCTCAATGTGACGAGCGAACGCTTTAACCACTAAGTTACCCCACCGTCCAAGTGTTTTCAGATTTCAAAGATTGGGTTGGTGATGTTATTTCATGTTGTATTTTAGACTAATTCTTGGCACTCGCATCAATTTCTTAGTTCTTGACACTCGTATAAATTTCATGATTTACAGTACCGTATTATCATGATGTTGCTAATACACTCCATTCATTCACTGGACATTCCTGGAATGTTGCTGTCAAGGGCAGACAATCTGATTCACACACTATGCTTATCGACCCGTGAAGATCCGGGGTAAAATAGGTCTTCAGCAACCCATACTTGCTGTAAAAGGCGACTATGCTTGTTGTAAGAGGCGACTAACAGGATTTGGATGTCAGGCTCGCTGACTTGGTTGATGTATGTCATCGATCCCAGGTGCGTGGTTCATGATATCCAGGTTCACTGGATTGTCTGGTCCAGACTTGATTATTTACAGACTACTGTCATATAGCCCTAATATTGCTGAGTGCGGAGTTAAACAACAAACAAACAAACAAAGACTATGCTTATCTGCTTCCAGGCAGGGTCAGTTCAAGTCCGAGTCCGCCGAGATGCCGACGAGCAGATGGTTCTGGCTCATGTCTACAACCGCCTGTCTAACCTCGTGGCGGTCCTCAACATACAGATCTTCAAGGACGACTGGACTCGGTCATCAGCCTATGCCATGATGGGAACACCATCATTCAACTATACCCCCACACCTCCCGCCTCTGCTCCTCCCCGGCCACAGTCCCCGCCCAGTGTGCCCCCGCCCTACCCCCCCCAGGCACACAGGACTAACCTACCAGGGGGGTTCACCCCCTCAGTGCTACACGCTGGGGACAATGTTTCCAAGATGCCTACCCCCCTGATGCCACCCATGGGGCAGGGAGCGGCACACTTGTCATCTTTACATATGTCATGATGCAGGCTCCAAGATGTCCGATGTCAGGGATTGGTTTGTCTACCGTTTCAAGGGTGGAACGTGGCAGATCAATAGACGTCTTCATGCTTAACATTTTGAAGAGAATCTCTTTCAAATAAGAAGAGTATGATATTTCAGATTCTGTTGATGTCCTACATGCCTGGCATTTTGAAGAGGATGTCTTTTAAGTTTAAGATGTCAGATTCTTTTGATTTTGAAGAGAGTGTAAGGTTTCGCTGCCTGACATCTATAATCGAACTAGTTCACAACCCATTTTGGACTAGTGTTTTGTGTAAAAGAACTCAATTTTGGGTCAAGACAGTACTTCACTCGTCTTGTCTAGACCTGCCTGTGCATGGGGCAGATTGTCTTCAGTTTTGTCTCGGGAGCTTTTGTCTAAGCATCTGGGTTGTGTGACCAACACATTCTTCATCTCCAGTATATGTGGGGGTATGCTAGTTCCACTGCACATCTACTAGCGGGGTTGATTGTTGAGTTGGAAGTTCAAGATAGAATTGAGAGCTAATTAAAGGAAGAAGACAAACACTGAAATGTTTCAGATGCTGTATCTATGTAACGCTATATGTCTTCCTTTCAGCTCTTGCAGGCATTGGACCTCTTACTATTACTCTGGGACTGTCATCAACATCTTCATTTAAGGAGGCAACAATATGACTTTCGGGAATTGAGAACATGACAATTCTATTTAAAACATCTTTGTACATAAGCACCTTTTGAGATTATTTTCCCTAAAACTGTTTGATAGGGGGTCGAAATAATAATGATTTTTTTTCAACATTTTCATTTTCAAGTGAAAATTGTTTGTCAGGTGGAAAGTAAGAAAAATAGTTTAAAAAGTGGGAAGATTATAAATGCTATCTTATGTTCTTCATTCCACATTTGTGAAGTTATGGTCAACTTCCTGGAAACCATGTTGTTATGAAAACCGCTGTCGGACCTGTGTGTGAGAGATGGATGAGTGTGATTATGTAGTGGAGATAGATCTGTAATCAGGCAAATATATTTTCTATTTGTTGGATCACACAATAATTCTGCTATAGTCCCAAGTTGTCTGAGTGATAAAAACTGACACCAGCCTCAAACATGTCAAAATAGGCACCTTTCATTTTCGAACCTATAAGTGTGCAAAATGTCAGCTTTTAGCACAAGTTAAGGCAGCCAGTTTCGGCAAGTCTGTATTAAGGACAAGGGACATAACTCAAGATCTATTCTGCACAAAATCAACTGCAACTGATCCACAAAATATATAGGTCAAATTGAGCATTGCATTTGTGTTTATATCATGTATATATTGATGTTTTTTTCGCTGTTATCACAGAATATGTTTGCTTGGTAGACGTGTTGATATACAAATCTTTTTTTCCAATTTTGCTGATGAAAATTGGATTGGCAGATGACATATTTGGGATCCAACAAAGAAAACAAAAATAACCTGACCTGATAATCTGATGCAATGTCTTTGATGTGTGTAAGTCCTCCCCACATCCAATGAGTCAGTGGGATAGCCTATAGGTTAAGATGTTTGCTCGTCATGCCAAAGGCTTGAGTTCAGCACATGTAGTGTGTGAAGTGTTCGCTGCTGGGGTCAGTAAGGGGCTGGTCATTTATGACAGAGGGGAAGCGGGGTGGGGTGCTGGTTGCATTTTATGAGGAAGGACCGACTTCAGGTTATCTGGATTACTGAGGAAGCTCTACATCACGAGGTTGCATTTTGAATGTAGGTCATGTGGTACTAACTAGCTTATTGATTGTAATGTGTGCTCTTCAGATCATGTCATCAAAATACTGGTGTAAATTATGTATAAATACAATGAATAATATGAAATTCATATTTGATTTTGTTGTGATTTATATTTGATTACTTGTTTTTGAACAGAACTGATTCCAAATTAGAAATCATGATACGATTATTACATCCGAACATATGAGACTGAAAGTGAAACTTCTCCATGACGGATCAGTCACGTTTAAGTACTTTCACGACGAGGCTGCTTCTCAGCACCAAGTCTGTCTTTCTCTCTCATGCACGTGGCGTGCGAGTAACCTAGTGGTTAAAGCAATCGCTCATCACGCCAAAGACCCGGGTTCTATTCCAGACATGGGTACAATGTGTGCAGCCCATTTCTGGTGTCCCCCCACCTTGATATTGCTAAAAGCGGCATAAAACCATACTCACTCACTCTACATGCGCCCACACACACATGCTGCATCTATACTTCACAAACATATTGGTCATTAAGCATAAAAACTGCTATCGGGTCTCAATTCCATGCTATGCTGTGTCAGACCTTACTGTTCGGTATGGAAATTAATACAACGGATATAGTGAGTGAGTATGGTTTTACGCCACTTTTAGCAATATTCTAGCAATATCACGGGGGGGGGGGGACCAGAAATGGGCTTCACACATTGTACCCATGTCGGGAATCGAACCCGGGTGATCGGCATGACGAGCTAACGCTTTAACCACTAGGCTACCTGACCGCCCCTCACAACCGATATAAACTAAACAACTACACAGAGTTATGTAAGTATGTTTATTGTGAAATGTTAATGATAAGAAAAACATGAGAAAAATATTAATAGTCTCAATACATCTCAAATCACTAGAAAAATAACCCATCAATAAATAAATAAATAAATGTATGAATTATAGTAAAAATAAATGAGGTAACACATCGGGGAAAACTCTATTCACTGGCATACTCAGTATGCTTGGGTTCTTTCACACTCTTTTCATTTACCATGATAATGTGTAGTAGACAGTCACAAACTCTGAAATTCTTTTAAAACCAAAATCGAAAAAGAAGTCAGAAAAAGGTACTCTGTATACACTGAAATGTAATACATTGGTGGATCCAGGATTTTGAAAAGGTATGGACACTATTGGCCTGAAAACAAAAACCAAGCTCTATATATATAGTGAGTGAGTGAGTGAGTTGGTTTAACGCTGCTTTTAACACTATTCCAGTTATATCACGGCGTGTCAGCTTAATGTGGGAGGAAAGCTCGAAGTGACGCAGGTCTCAGACGTTTACCACTTCGGTGAAACCCACGAGCACAGGTATGGTGCTGGCAACCCTAGAAACATAATCGGGGCGAACCGGGATTCGAACCCACAATCATAGGTTTCTGGCGTACCCAAGGGACGCAACTCTGCACAGCGAATCACGGCACCTTAGACGACTGGGACACCCGTGCCCCCCTTGAGCAAAGAACCAACACTGGTTGATGTGTAAGGTGTTAGAGAGAAACATGGTACTAGATCCACCAGTGTAATGTTGTGTTACTATCAAAAAAGTATCAAAATTACACATTTTGAAGACAAATGGCAGACTTGTAAAGTTTAAAAGGACTATGATTATGCTGGTTAGGAAAGGGAAGAGAAACAAAGACATCAAGGTGTCTGTGATTGTCAGTAGTCAATTGAGAAATAATTTTTAAAAGATCCATGATAATTATTTTTATTTGTGTGCATCCTTGTCTTTTCTGTTAAGTTTCCTTACGTTAGATCAGGTTAAGAACTTCATTACAAATATCTGACAAGCTCCAATTGGTCAATCTCATTTAAATCAGATCTTAGTTCTCGCTACCACTAAACAAAGATCTGATTTTAATTAGATTGGGTAGTGGTCATTTGCTCATCCTGACTAGGATCCAGATTTGATACAATTTGGGGCAAATGTTTGAAGAAATCTTTTGGTGTTGCCTGTTCTCCAGTAGGTTCTAAACTGCCAGAGCAGCATACAACCTCACTCACTGACTCACAAGCTCTGCACACTGATTGTAGCTGAAGTCATCTTCCCTAGGTAAGGGAGTTAAATGACTATAAAAGTCCAGTTTCCACCCTTGCCGAACTAGCCTGGAATTTCTAGGCTCCAACATAGTGCCACCAGTGGTTATTATGAGTTGTGTCCATTCTATGCCTCTCCTATTGGCCAATCAGATTTCATCTCTTGTATCATTTGCTTTTGCTTCAAACAAAATGGCGACACCTAGTCAAGATGATCTGATGAAAAATTAAGATCTATATTGTGACAAAACAGGTCTTACATCGCAAAGTGCATCAAATCACGTGAGCACCTTGATTAAAAACATGAAAACATTTAGACAATATCTGCTGACGCCGAGTTGGCGGTGCACAGCCTTTGCAAATCTTGCAATTGACCGAAATCTGCACGACATTTTACAAACCAGACAAGCTTAAGTTAGCAGCACAGGGTGTTGTACAGTTGGTCAACAGTTGGTCAACAGTTTAACATTGATGAAACATCCCAGCAAATATGGTCCAATATAATTTTTGCAGAGCATTTTCATGTTGGTACATTGTACCAGTGTTTTCCAGTGTTTAAATAGGGGTGGGATTTAGGGTGCACATAGTATGTGCTGAGTGTATTATTTAGACACCATGGTTGATGCTATTCATTGTTGGTGTTGACTATATTGCATTTTAGGGTGATATAATATCTCTACAAAGGCATAATTAAATCCATGAGATATGTTTTCAATCAACATTTGTCCATCTAGGCTCAAAAACAATTATGCAAAGAATAACGAAACTACACAAAAAGATTCAACAAAGTGAGAGCATCATATTTTAAACAAAATATGTACTTCACTGGACTTATATTCACACCATGTCATCCAGTAATGTAAAAAACAAGCATTCCTGAATGCAAATAAATTAAGTATACCCGGTAGTTATTATTCTTCATCTATATTTTGACTCACACTCCCCCCCCCCCCACACCAACACGTTTTGCAGGGCGTATATTCACATGAAGACCTGTCAGTCCGTCTGTCGTGTAAGATGTCGTTTTCGGAACAGATCTTAAAAAACATCCTATATTTTTTCACCAAACTTGGTGCATAGATATGTCTAGTGGTGAACTGTTGCCTTTTGATAGTTTGGGATTTTATAACATATATTGTTTAAGTTTCCATGGCAACAAGTTTGACTTAGACTGAAAATGGGAGTAATGCCTGTTTCGGGAGCAGATCTTGACAACTGTTCAATATTTCTTTACCAAATTTGGCATGTAGAGGTCAGGTGGTTGACTGGTGCCTTTTGATTTGGGATTTGTTTTAAATTAATTTTTCGAGTTTTGATAGCGACGACTTTTGACTTAGACTGAAAATGGGGGTAATGCTTGTTTCCGGAATAGATCTCATAAAATATTTCTTCACCAAACTTGGCACATAGATATGTCTAGCAGTGAACTAGTGCCTTTTAATAGTTTTTGGATGTCTTGAACAATATTTTTTGAGTTTTCAAGGTAACAACTTTGACTAGACTGAAAATGGAGGTAGTGCTAGCAGATCTAGAAAACTGTACAATATTTCATAGCAATGACTTTGACATAGACTGAAATGTTTGTTTCTGGAAAAGATCTAAAAAATATTTCTTCATTAAACTTAGATAGGACAAGTGGTGAACTGGTGCCTATTGATAGTTTGGGATTAATTTTTCGAGTTTCATTAGCAACAACTTTGACTGAGACAGAAAATGGGGGTAATGCTTGTTACCAGGGAAGATCTCGGAAATCGAAAAATTATTCTTCACAAAACTGGGCACACAGATGGGTCTATTGGTCAATGGGTGCCTTTTGATTTTTTAAACAAATATATTTTGTTTCCATGGCATCAAGTCATTTGGTTGCAGAAAGGACAAGTAAAGAGTGTTGATGTAATTAATTAACTAAGTTTTGCCCTTTTTTAATATTTAAAAGTTTTCTTAAGTAAAATATAAATTTTAAGAAAATAGAAGTTTATATATACAATGTTGGCCCAGTACCAGCGTGTTTGCTGGGAAACTTACAGCTTAGAGTTCTCTCCCCTTACAAGAGGTTAAACTTTAAAAAAGTGCACACTTGCGGTGTACTCAACCATTTCAGAGGCACAACATTTGAAAAACTTCTTTCCAGTAATTTAATACATCTAGAATAAGAAAACCAAAAGATTGAATCCTATATTTCACATTCTATAATGACTGCTGCTGCCACCTGGGTTTAAGATAACTTTGAACAGGTTTTTAATTACACTGTGAGTCAGCTAACTATAGGAAAGTGAGGATATGGTCATAATAAAAAGAATTCAAAATACAACAAAAAACACAGCATGCAACTTATAGATTATAGCACAGTATTGATTTTCCCTTAACCTATTATTCATAAATTGAAGACTAATCATTTTCATAGACCAGAATATCAAAGTAGAAATTGCAACAAGTATGTCAAAACAATTTTGAATAAAAAGGATAAAAAGAACATAATTCCAAAATGAGCACACTATTCACCATGTAGGAAGAAATATCAACAAGTAATGAAAATAATAAAACTTCACATCCAGAACTAAATGATATCCATGTCGTAATGCCAGAATCTATTTCACTGCATTTATTCTTGTGAGTGAGTGAGTTGGGTTTAACGCCACTTTTAAAAGTATTCCAGTTATAACGCGGCGTGTCAGCTTAATGTGGGAGGAAAGCCCGAAGTGATGCAGGTTTCGGATGTTTACCACTTCGCTGAAACCCAAGAGAACGGGTATGGTGCTGACAAACCTAGAAACATAATCGGGGCGAACCGGGATTCGAACCCACAATCATAGGTTTCTGGCCTGCCCAAGGGACACAACTCTGCACAGCGAATCGCGGCGCCTTAGATGTCTGGGCCCTATCATTTATTCTAAGTCTGGCCTTAGGTCTATAGGAGGTCCCAAAAATGCATTTTTCCTTTACTGTAGTGATCTGGGTACAGGCCCATCTTAAAGCACTAGCTCATTTCCTATGTTATCCGGATGAGTCAAGTTGGTTTAATGCCCGGCCCCCTATTTGTAAAAACATCATGAGTCAGCAATGGGCATGGCTTACTCGGATCAGCCAGACAGCAGCACAGGTGACCAGCACGGCTCACTCAGACCAGCCAAGACAGCAGCCCAGCTGATCAGCATGGCTCACTCAGACCAGCCAAGAGAGCAGCATGGCTCACTCAGACCAGCCAAGAGAGCAGCATGGCTCACTCAGACCAGCCAAGAGAGCAGCATGGCTCACTCAGACCAGCCAAGAGAGCAGCATGGCTCACTCAGACCAGCCAAGAGAGCAGCATGGCTCACTCAGACCAGCCAAGAGAGCAGCATGGCTCACTCAGACCAGCCAAGAGAGCAGCATGGCTCACTCAGACCAGCCAAGACTGCAGCATGGCTCACTCAGACCAGCCAAGAGAGCAGCATGGCTCACTCAGACCAGCCAAGAGAGCAGCATGGCTCACTCAGACCAGCCAAGAGAGCAGCATGGCTCACTCAGACCAGCCAAGAGAGCAGCATGGCTCACTCAGACCAGCCAAGAGAGCAGCATGGCTCACTCAGACTAGCCAAGAGAGCAGCATGGCTCACTCAGACCAGCCAAGAGAGCAGCATGGCTCACTCAGACCAGCCAAGACTGCAGCATGGCTCACTCAGACCAGCCAAGACTGCAGCATGGCTCACTCAGACCAGCCAAGAGAGCAGCATGGCTCACTCAGACCAGCCAAGAGAGCAGCATGGCTCACTCAGACCAGCCAAGACTGCAGCATGGCTCACTCAGACCAGCCAAGACTGCAGCATGGCTCACTCAGACCAGCCAAGACAGCAGCATGGCTCACTCAGACCAGCCAAGACAGCAGCATGGCTCACTCAGACCAGCCAAGAGAGCAGCATGGCTCACTCAGACCAGCCAAGACTGCAGCATGGCTCACTCAGACCAGCCAAGAGAGCAGCATGGCTCACTCAGACCAGCCAAGACTGCAGCATGGCTCACTCAGACCAGCCAAGACTGCAGCATGGCTCACTCAGACCAGCCAAGACTGCAGCATGGCTCACTCAGACCAGCCAAGACAGCAGCATGGCTCACTCAGACCAGCCAAGAGAGCAGCATGGCTCACTCAGACCAGCCAAGAGAGCAGCATGGCTCACTCAGACCAGCCAAGACTGCAGCATGGCTCACTCAGACCAGCCAAGACTGCAGCATGGCTCACTCAGACCAGCCAAGAGAGCAGCATGGCTCACTCAGACCAGCCAAGACAGCAGCATGGCTCACTCAGACCAGCCAAGACTGCAGCATGGCTCACTCAGACCAGCCAAGAGAGCAGCATGGCTCACTCAGACCAGCCAAGACTGCAGCATGGCTCACTCAGACCAGCCAAGACAGCAGCATGGCTCACTCAGACCAGCCAAGACTGCAGCATGGCTCACTCAGACCAGCCAAGACTGCAGCATGGCTCACTCAGACCAGCCAAGACAGCAGCATGGCTCACTCAGACCAGCCAAGAGAGCAGCCCAGCTGACCAGCATGGCTTTCATCAACTGAACAATTATCACCTCAATAGTTTGTTATTCCTGTTTATTATTTGCTCTGTATCAAAAGACGATCGGTGGTATTGCATTGTGTCCAGTTATGGTACACTTCCAAACACTCAGTATTTAGCAGTCTCAATTACCAAGACAAGTCAGGTTGGACTTACTTTCTATTAACCAATCAAACCTGTTTGCTAATAATCTTGTTTCTTTCACTTAGTGTGAGTTCATTGGAGTATGAACTTGCATAGAGTGAGGGCCAAACTGTATGAATGTCGGAGCATGCCCTCATTTGGCCCAATGTTTGACCCTCATTACATGAAAAAGGTCTCTTAAGAACTACCTCAGTAAGTCAGTCACAATGACAGCACAATGGCCGACACAATAAACACATCGTCCTTAGTTTGGATGTGCATTTCCTTGTTTTGTTCACATGGATGGGTTGTAATGGTGATATTCTTGAATGGGCATGCAGTCATACTCTCAGACTTATCCTAATGTATGCAAAAACACCTAATTCAAGATATAAGGTTCAAAAACAAAGCTTCCGTATATATTCACGCTTGAGAATGTGGAAATAGTCTGTCAGTGTTTATGTCATTTCAAGAATACAATCTTGTGAAAAACGTATGAACGTCAAAATATGTCGTTCAAACACTTATGAACGTCAGTTTCGCGGTCGTGATCGACCTCTCGTCGAATTTCAAAACTAAATGTATCTATATGTTCTATTCTTCCCACCGTAACATGGTAGGAATTGTCCAAACCAGGACCTTCCCCCTGGCAAGATTATATAGTTTGATACCGATCCCGTTCAACATTTAGGATGTTATACATGTATTTGCTAGGGCTGCTCATGCAACCTACAGTTCGTCTAATCATGGCAACGTTCAATCATGGCACATTCACTGCAACCAATACACAGTTCTATTTGAAACTGAGCTTTGCATTCAAAATTTTCACCGGTCAGACTGTTTTATGTTTACCAATTTGTCATCATAACAATTTATTCCAGGGTGAGTGTAAAAACAGAAGTGTTCACTCGTGTTGTAAACAGTAGGTACATGGAGACAGCTTTCGTCAGTTTGAATAAAGACAAAGAGATGAAGATGACACTTCTCCATGTGTATGTTCATGGATTTGTCCCACTGGAGACAAAGTCACGTTCAGAATACAATAATACCAAGGTCTTTGATCGCAAAAGAGAAAAAAAACATAACTGCAAAAAGGACCTATGAACTCTTAAAATATAATATGACTGGATCTATTGTATACTTCTCAAAAGAAGTTAAGGTTCAATCAATGCATTCACATTCATATTATTATAGGTAATCTGTCATGCCATGACTTCTTTTGATTAGTAGTCTGCGGCCACTGTAAAAGTGTAATTGTCTCAATGAGAACATTGCATTCTCAGAAGTAACCATATAAACACGGTACTGTGGTAATACTTAAAACAGTAGAAGCATTCATTTTGTGCCACTGAACCAACCGCCTCACACAAATTGTGTCACACAAAACCAAAGAATAACATAGTGAATATATATTGAAACTACCGTATTCGATGTAATAAGCACCCTGCTCTAATAAGTGCCCACGGCGATATTTGCTAATATATTGGCTAGTGAACAATCCCAATTAGCCCCCCTTCCGATCGATCGATGTACACAATACTTATTTATTTGGGTATAATACACACTCATGTGTTATATGCACCCTTAATTATGGGCAACTAAATTCTGGGAAAATATATCAGTCGTATATAAAAATTTCAGGATGTCAGCATAAACCACGAAATTTATCTTTCAACTCTGTCTTTTTCACCAAAATAATATTCTAATAAGAGCCCCCTAATTCTAATTTTGAGAGCGCCCTGGGCACATAATATGTCAAATACAGTAACTTGTATTTAGAATTGTGTTTGCCCAGGATGTCAACATATTAAGTTAAATGGGTTCCTCTCTCCTACTTGCCAGTTATTCGTGTTTCCTGTGCATTATTAATGTGTAGATCACATTTTTCCCCTAAACCAACAATGTTCTGGGGCTTACTCTAAGCACATTTACATCATCTTCAGCTTTCAAAGGTATTTTATAGTGATGTCATCTCACTCAACTCACATAGGGGCGGTCGGGTAGCCTGGTGGTTAAAGCGTTCGCTTGTCACGCCGAAGACCCGGGTTCGATTCCCAACTTGGGTACAATATGTGAAGCCCATTTCTGGTGTCCCCCGCCGTGATATTGCTGGAATATTGCTAAAAGCGGCGTAAAACAATACTCACTCACTCACATATTTGTCTGTGTCAAGATCTGAGGTCACATACACAGTTAAACCCAGAGCAAACTTTGTCAGCCCAATCCAAATGAAGGATACATGGGTGCTTAAGTAAATCAAATATCAGCTTTTTAAAACAATTTGGCTTCATTTCTCTCCCGCCTCGATATGGACCTAGATAAGGAGAACTGCCACACAACACAACTATACCCTCTATAGTAGGCCCTTTTGGGAGTACATGCCACTGCCTTACAAACAACAGGATACATTAAATATCCACAACAATATAATAGCGCAGCATTATTTTATCGTAACAGATTTCCTAGATTACATTTGTTTTCAAGATACAGAAGAATCTGGAGGCCTTGACACTGATTGGCTGACTCAAACGTTCACCTGCCGCAACCTTATATGGAAGTGTCCTCAGATCTTGACACAGAGAGGCATGGCATCAGAGTAAAAGATAGGATTTTAATGAGACTGTTTGTCATCATATTTCAAACATAGGCCTCTGACAAGGACACATGTATATGTAAGAAATATTCTGCGTGAAACAGAATATGAAAGAAAATCCCAAACAAATGGGATATTTTCAAGATCAATGCAATCTTTTATTTTTTTTTATGTTAACATATTCCAATACACGTTTTAAATTGATTTAAATGAGGTCTATTATATATGAAGACATGTAATAAATTAAGTTGGGGGAAATAGATAAATCGTCCTTTATCACTCACTTCAGTCATACATACATATATATATCATATATGTACTTGAACATTTCTGAAATCGAAAACCTGCTTGTGCAAAAAAGAAAAAAGGCTAGTTATTAGCCATTGAACAAGTCTGATATTATTTCCATACCAATTAAAAATGCTTTCCACAAGTTCCAAATTGGACATTTTTGGTGGGCTTAACGTCAGTCGTCTTGTTGATTGACAAAGAAAGACAATTGACTAATATCCATCGACACGACACTGAGTCAAGTCAACTATTCTGTTGATTTAATGCATCGGATATCGTATCATCCAAAGTATGCCGTCGATGCACCAGTGTACCAGTGAATTGCAACAACACTACCATGAACAATTAAAAACATCTTCCATAATTTCATGTATAAAACAAAGGGATAACCAGTGCACAAATGTAAAACTACAAGTCCTGTCACTCAATGTCTTTACTATGGACATAAATAAAACCCTAAAACAGTCATAATCAGCTGTAGTTAATGCCCTGTACTCGCTGAAGGGGTACGTGAAACAAGGAATACTGTAGGTAGGACATTAGGAACAAAGACCCTGTCCGTACAGGCCCTAGGGTTATAGCCTTGGTCCCGTATGCCCGCGGGAACTCTGTGGCGGTTATGAATAGTTGCAAGAGGAACATAATAGCGAATGGAAGATATGTCTGGGTGATTCGTTGGAATGGTGTTATTCGGCGGACTTTGACCTCCTGTAGGTTTCCACTTGCCAAGTAGAGAAGATCCAGCGAGTGGCTGAGATGCAGGAGGAGGGGGACATGGAAAGTTATCACCTGCAAAAGGAAGGATTCATTATCGTTATTGTAATGGTCATTAATGTCTTTACTTCATCATGGGTCATAAGAAGCGACTATGCTTGTCGTTAGAAGCGACTATGGGTGTCGTTAGAAGCGACTATGCTTGTCGTAAGAAGCGACTATGCATGTCGCAAGAAGCGACTATGCTTGTCGTAAGAGGTGGCTAAAGGGATCGGGTTGTCAGACTCGCTGACCTTGTCTGATGCATGTCATCGTATCCCAATTACACAGATTTATGCTCATGATGTAGATCACTGGATTGTCTGGTCCAGACTTGGTTATTTACAGACTGCCATCATATAGCTGGAATATTGCTGAGTGAGGCATTAAATAATAAACAAAAAAAACAAAAAAAACCTTCACAATGATAATGAATATCTTTCCAATATCATTGTATATCCAGTATGCAACTTTAGCCACTAGTGTGTAGCCCAGGTCTAGTAAAATCATTTCTGCCATCATATTTTCATATGGATTGTATGAACTCACATGGAAAATACCATAGAAGTATGTGTGGCTCCCCGGGATGAACGTGCCATGTACATACATCCCCCACACAAACAGCAAGCCGGTGTGGTTCTCCAGGAAGTCTCCCACAAACCAGGGACCTGTAACATCACATCTTACAACGGTCAAATACCATCCCCACAAACCAGGGACCTGTAACATCACATCTTACAACGGTCAAATACCATCCCCACAAACCAGGGACCTGTAACATCACATCTTACAACGGTCAAATACCATCCCCACAAACCAGGGACCTGTAACATCACATCTTACATAGGTCAAATACCATCCCCACAAACCAGGGACCTGCAACATCACATCTTACAACGGTCAAATACCATCCCCACAAACCAGGGACCTGCAACATCACATCTTACAACGGTCAAATACCATCCCCACAAACCAGGGACCTGCAACATCACATCTTACACAGGTCAAATACCATCCCCACAAACCAGGGACCTGTAACATCACATCTTACATAGGTCAAATACCATCCCCACAAACCAGGGACCTGTAACATCACATCTTACATAGGTCAAATATCATCCCCACAAACCAGGGACCTGCAACATCACATCTTACATCGGTCAAATACCATCCCCACAAACCAGGGACCTGCAACATCACATCTTACAACGGTCAAATACCATCCCCACAAACCAGGGACCTGTAACATCACATCTTACAACGGTCAAATAACATCCCCACAAACCAGGGACCTGTAACATCACATCTTACATAGGTCAAATACCATCCCCACAAACCAGGGACCTGCAACATCACATCTTACACAGGTCAAATACCATCCCCACAAACCAGGGACCTGTAACATCACATCTTACATAGGTCAAATACCATCCCCACAAACCAGGGACCTGTAACATCACATCTTACACAGGTCAAATACCATCCCCACAAACCAGGGACCTGCAACATCACATCTTACATAGGTCAAATATCATCCCCACAAACCAGGGACCTGTAACATCACATCTTACAAAGGTCAAATACCATCCCCCAAACCAGGGACCTGCAACATCACATCTTACATAGGTCAAATACCATCCCCACAAACCAGGGACCTGCAACATCACATCTTACATAGGTCAAATACCATCCCCACAAACCAGGAACCTGTAACATCACATCTTACATAGGTCAAATACCATCCCCACAAACCAGGGACCTGTAACATCACATCTTACATAGGTTAAATACCATCCCCACAAACCAGAGACCTTTAACATCACATCTTACATAGGTCAAATACCATCCCCACAAACCAGGGACCTGTAACATCACATCTAACATAGGTTAAATACCATCCCCACAAACCAGGGACCTGTAACATCACATCTTACATAGGTCAAATACCATTCCCACAAACCAGGGACCTGTAACATCACATCTTACATAGGTTAAATACCATCCCCACAAACCAGGGACCTGCAACATCACATCTTACATAGGTCAAATACCATCCCCACAAACCAGGGACCTGCAACATCACATCTTACATAGGTCAAATATCATCCCCACAAACCAGGGACCTGTAACATCACATCTTACAAAGGTCAAATACCATCCCCCAAACCAGGGACCTGCAACATCACATCTTACATAGGTCAAATACCATCCCCACAAACCAGGGACCTGCAACATCACATCTTACATAGGTCAAATACCATCCCCACAAACCAGGAACCTGTAACATCACATCTTACATAGGTCAAATACCATCCCCACAAACCAGGGACCTGTAACATCACATCTTACATAGGTTAAATACCATCCCCACAAACCAGAGACCTTTAACATCACATCTTACATAGGTCAAATACCATCCCCACAAACCAGGGACCTGTAACATCACATCTAACATAGGTTAAATACCATCCCCACAAACCAGGGACCTGTAACATCACATCTTACATAGGTCAAATACCATTCCCACAAACCAGGGACCTGTAACATCACATCTTACATAGGTTAAATACCATCCCCACAAACCAGGGACCTGCAACATCACATCTTACATAGGTCAAATACCATCCCCACAAACCAGGGACCTGCAACATCACATCTTACACAGGTCAAATACCATCCCCCCAAACCAGGGACCTGTTACATCACATCTTACATAGGTCAAATACCATCCCCATAAACCAGGGACCTGTAACATCACATCTTACATAGGTTAAATACCATCCCCACAAACCAGGGACCTGCAACATCACATCTTACATAGGTCAAATACCATCCCCACAAACCAGGGACCTGTAACATCACATCTTACACAGGTCAAATACCATCCCCACAAACCAGGGACCTGTAACATCACATCTTACACAGGTCAAATACCATCCCCATAAACCAGGGACCTGTAACATCACATCTTACATAGGTTAAATACCATCCCCACAAACCAGGGACCTGCAACATCACATCTTACATAGGTCAAATACCATCCCCACAAACCAGGGACCTGCAACATCACATCTTACATAGGTCAAATACCATCCCCCCAAACCAGGGACCTGTAACATCACATCTTACATAGGTCAAATACCATCCCCACAAACCCGTGAACTGTAACATTACATCTTACATAGGTCAAATACCATCCCCACAAACCAGGGACCTGTAACATCACATCTTACATAGGTCAAATACCATCCCCACAAACCCGTGAACTGTAACATTACATCTTACATAGGTCAAATACCATCCCCACAAACCAGGGACCTGTAACATCACATCTTACATAGGTCAAATACCATCCCCACAAACCCGTGAACTGTAACATTACATCTTACATAGGTCAAATACCATCCCCACAAACCAGGGACCTGTAACATCACATCTTACATAGGTCAAATACCATCCCCACAAACCCGTGAACTGTAACATTACATCTTACATAGGTCAAATACCATCCCCACAAACCAGGGACCTGCAACATCACATCTTACATAGGTCAAATATCATCCCCACAAACCAGGGAACTGTAACATCACATCTTACAACGGTCAAATACCATTCCCACAAACCAGGGACCTGTAACATCACATCTTACAAAGGTCAAATACCATCCCCCAAACCAGGGACCTGCAACATCACATCTTACATAGGTCAAATACCATCCCCACAAACCAGGGACCTGCAACATCACATCTTACATAGGTCAAATACCATCCCCACAAACCAGGAACCTGTAACATCACATCTTACATAGGTCAAATACCATCCCCACAAACCAGGGACCTGTAACATCACATCTTACATAGGTTAAATACCATCCCCACAAACCAGAGACCTTTAACATCACATCTTACATAGGTCAAATACCATCCCCACAAACCAGGGACCTGTAACATCACATCTAACATAGGTTAAATACCATCCCCACAAACCAGGGACCTGTAACATCACATCTTACATAGGTCAAATACCATTCCCACAAACCAGGGACCTGTAACATCACATCTTACATAGGTTAAATACCATCCCCACAAACCAGGGACCTGCAACATCACATCTTACATAGGTCAAATACCATCCCCACAAACCAGGGACCTGCAACATCACATCTTACATAGGTCAAATATCATCCCCACAAACCAGGGACCTGTAACATCACATCTTACAAAGGTCAAATACCATCCCCCAAACCAGGGACCTGCAACATCACATCTTACATAGGTCAAATACCATCCCCACAAACCAGGGACCTGCAACATCACATCTTACATAGGTCAAATACCATCCCCACAAACCAGGAACCTGTAACATCACATCTTACATAGGTCAAATACCATCCCCACAAACCAGGGACCTGTAACATCACATCTTACATAGGTTAAATACCATTCCCACAAACCAGAGACCTTTAACATCACATCTTACATAGGTCAAATACCATCCCCACAAACCAGGGACCTGTAACATCACATCTAACATAGGTTAAATACCATCCCCACAAACCAGGGACCTGTAACATCACATCTTACATAGGTCAAATACCATTCCCACAAACCAGGGACCTGTAACATCACATCTTACATAGGTTAAATACCATCCCCACAAACCAGGGACCTGCAACATCACATCTTACATAGGTCAAATACCATCCCCACAAACCAGGGACCTGCAACATCACATCTTACACAGGTCAAATACCATCCCCACAAACCAGGGACCTGTTACATCACATCTTACATAGGTCAAATACCATCCCCATAAACCAGGGACCTGTAACATCACATCTTACATAGGTTAAATACCATCCCCACAAACCAGGGACCTGCAACATCACATCTTACATAGGTCAAATACCATCCCCACAAACCAGGGACCTGTAACATCACATCTTACACAGGTCAAATACCATCCCCACAAACCAGGGACCTGTAACATCACATCTTACACAGGTCAAATACCATCCCCATAAACCAGGGACCTGTAACATCACATCTTACATAGGTTAAATACCATCCCCACAAACCAGGGACCTGCAACATCACATCTTACATAGGTCAAATACCATCCCCACAAACCAGGGACCTGCAACATCACATCTTACATAGGTCAAATACCATCCCCCCAAACCAGGGACCTGTAACATCACATCTTACATAGGTCAAATACCATCCCCACAAACCCGTGAACTGTAACATTACATCTTACATAGGTCAAATACCATCCCCACAAACCAGGGACCTGTAACATCACATCTTACATAGGTCAAATACCATCCCCACAAACCCGTGAACTGTAACATTACATCTTACATAGGTCAAATACCATCCCCACAAACCAGGGACCTGCAACATCACATCTTACATAGGTCAAATATCATCCCCACAAACCAGGGAACTGTAACATCACATCTTACAACGGTCAAATACCATTCCCACAAACCAGGGACCTGTAACATCACATCTTACATAGGTCAAATACCATCCCCACAAACCAGGGACCTGTAACATCACATCTTACATAGGTTAAATACCATCCCCACAAACCAGGGACCTGTAACATCACATCTTACATAGGTCAAATACCATCCCCACAAACCAGAGACCTGTAACATCACATCTAACAAAGGTCAAATACCATCCCCACAAACCAGGGACCTGCAACATCACATCTTACAACGGTCAAATACCATTCCCACAAACCAGGGACCTGTAACATCACATCTTACATAGGTCAAATACCATCCCCACAAACCAGGGACCTGCAACATCACATCTTACATAGGTCAAATACCATTCCCACAAACCAGGGACCTGTAACATCACATCTTACAACGGTCAAATACCATTCCCACAAACCAGAGACCTGTAACATCACATCTAACAAAGGTCAAATACCATCCCCACAAACCAGGGACCTGCAACATCACATCTTACAAAGGTCAAATACCATTCCCACAAACCAGGGACCTGTAACATCACATCTTACATAGGTCAAATACCATCCCCACAAACCAGGGACCTGCAACATCACATCTTACAACGGTCAAATACCATTCCCACAAACCAGGGACCTGTAACATCACATCTTACATAGGTCAAATACCATCCCCACAAACCAGGGACCTGTAACATCACATCTTACATAGGTCAAATACCATTCCCCAAAACCAGGGACCTGTAACATCACATCTTACTTAGGTCAAACACCATCCCTACAAACCAGGAACCTTTAACCATGGCAACATCACATCTTACAACGGTCAAATACCATTCCCCACAAACCAGGGACCTGTAACATCACATCTTACATAGGTCAAATACCATCCCCACAAACCAGGGACCTGTAACATCACATCTTACATAGGTCAAATACCATCCCCACAAACCAGAGACCTGTAACATCACATCTAACAAAGGTCAAATACCATCCCCACAAACCAGGGACCTGCAACATCACATCTTACATAGGTCAAATACCATCCCCACAAACCAGGGACCTGTAACATCACATCTTACATAGGTCAAATACCATTCCTCGAAACCAGGGACCTTTAACATCACATCTAACAAAGGTCAAATACCATCCCCACAAACCAGGGACCTGCAACATCACATCTTACATAGGTCAAATACCATTCCCACAAACCAGGGACCTGTAACATCACATCTTACATAGGTCAAATATCATCCCCACAAACCAGGGACCTGTAACATCACATCTTACATAGGTCAAATACCATTCCTCGAAACCAGGGACCTGTAACATCACATCTTACATAGGTCAAATACCATTCCCACAAACCAGGGACCTGTAACATCACATCTTACATAGGTCAAATACCATTCCCACAAACCAGGGACCTGTAACATCACATCTTACATAGGTCAAATACCATTCCTCGAAACCAGGGACCTGTAACATCACATCTTACATAGGTCAAATACCATTCCCACAAACCAGGGACCTGTAACATCACATCTTACATAGGTCAAATACCATCCCCACAAACCAGGGACCTGTAATATCACATCTTACATAGGTCAAATACCATCCCCACAAACCAGGGACCTGTAACATCACATCTTACATAGGTCAAATACCATTCCCACAAACCAGGGACCTGTAACATCACATCTTACATAGGTCAAATACCATTCCCCAAAACCAGGGACCTGTAACATCACATCTTACTTAGGTCAAATACCATCCCCACAAACCAGAGACCTGTAACATCACATCTTACAACGGTCAAATACCATTCCCCAAAACCAGGGACCTGTAACATCACATCTTACTTAGGTCAAACACCATCCCTACAAACCAGGAACCTTTAACCATGGCAACATCACATCTTACATCTTACAAATATTAAGTGTTACATCCAGAAGGAATTGTAAACAAAGGCCACTAAAGAACTGATGGTATCACACGGGAAAAGTGGGAAAAAAACAAGGATGTTTGATCACCAAGCACCATCGTAACATCCCCAACTCCAATACCTGCTATAGAGACAACTCTACTTTCAGAGACAATATAAGACACATACCTGTGTCAAGTTTCAACTTACCAAATGTTACATACAGAATAGCACCAAGTACAGGATAGTAAATGCTGTTAGTTCTTGCTGTCAGCCATAACTTCCACAGCCACCGGTTCACATAATACTCCAGCAGAGACTCCCCTGTAAGTACAACACACTATGATGAGCACATGGTTGTTTACCTGCAGCAACATGATGACAGTGGAAATCTCCACAGTGAAGGTGGGTACCGCTTAACACTGTTTTCAACAGCATCTCACCAACATCAGTGTGTGCAGCTCACTGAACAAGGGTAGCACAAAGTGGGGCGGGTCAAGGTGAGTGAGGATGTTTTTATCATCCAAAACTGGCTCCCATACATCGCTTGATCTCACCCAAGCGATATCTACGCTGTAGATATCGCTGCAATGAAATTGCATCACAATGCTTTAGAGGCCATTATGACGTCATTGGTTACAGTGACGTCACAATCAAATGACATCACTAATGGCTCTGCTACTGAAGCTGTTAGCAGTACTTTTTACATTTAAGACACTGCTTATTACTGTCTACAAACTGTAAAAGTTGGAAGAATGATGTTGGATGATAAATAAAATCTCACCCTCGTGTCTTTTGATATCAAATATATCAACACTCAACAAATATATCAATATATCAAGTTTTCCAACTTTTATCAACTCGTGTTGATATATTTGATATCAAAAGACACTCAGGTGAGATTCTCTATGTACGCCGCTTTTAGCAATATTCCAGCAATATCTTGGCACAGGGACACTGGAATATGGGCTTCACACATTGTACCCATGTGGGGAATCGAACCCGGGTCTTTGGCGTGACAAGCCAACGCTATAACCACAGGCTTGCTCCACAGCCCCAGAGCAGGTCAAAGACACTGACCAATTTTGGTGAATTCTAAAAGCATGGGAACGATGTTATTGAACTAAGCGTCATAATATAAGCTGCTGAAGCACCACAGAGCACTGGTCACCTGTAATGCTCCCTCCACACTAAACAGAGTGAGTGAGTTGTGTTTAACGCCGCTTTTAACAGTATTTCAGTTATATCACGGCGTGTCAGCTTAATGTGGGAGGAAAGCCCCGAAGTGATGCAGGTCTCAGACATTTACCACTTCGGTGAAACCCACGAACACGGGTATGGTGCTGACAAACCTAGAAACATAATCGGGGTGAACCAGGATTTGAACCCACAATCATAGGTTTCTGGTGTGACCAAGGGACACAACTCTGCACAGCGAATCGCGGCGCCTTAGACGACTGGGACACCCGTGCCCCCCTTGAGCAAAGAACCAACACTGGTTGATGTGTAAGGTGTTAGAGAAAAACTGTGCACAGCGAATTTCTATCTCTCTATCATAAACTGTTTGTGTTAAATTATCATGTAGATGACTGTGTGTGGATTCAACTTGTCACACTCTTTAGTGAGTGAGTGAGTGAGTGAGTGAGTGAGTGAGTGAGTGAGTGAGTGAGTGAGTGAGTGAGTGAGTGAGTGAGTGAGTGAGTGAGTGAGTGAGTGAGTGAGTGATTTGAACCCACAATCATAGGTTTCTGGCATGCCCAAGGGACGCAACTCTGCTGTGCGAATCGCGGCCCCTTAGACGACTGGGCCACCCGTGCCCCCTCACATTCTTTTGTGACTGTACAAGAAGTGTGCTCCTTGTATCAGTATTTTCAGGGTCTTTTATGTCTGAAAACATAAACTAAATACTATAACACTGGGGTGGTCTTTATAATAAAACATATTTAATAAGCTGGGGTTAATGCAGCTTGGACGGTATGTCACTTTATCCAAAGATATTAATGTCAGCTATTGGGGGAGGAAAGCCAAAAGTGATTTTTGTGAAACCCACATGCACAGGTATGGTGCTGACAGACCAAGCATCATTATCTTGGATTCTGGCAGATCCTAGCACAGTCAAGGGACACAACTCAGTTGGTGGGGCATAAGACGACTGGACACCCATACCTCATTCTGATGGATCCTTAAGATGGGATAATCATGAAATATAAGATAATAACATTCCACAACTTTTAACATATTTAACATAACTGTTTTCTCACCTTCAAAAAAGAAGTTCCTTATGTTTGAGCACTGCCGCAGGAAGCCTAAGAATAGTATGTATACAAACACCATAGCAGCGTATATCACCTTGCCCTGGAACATCAACATGTGTTAGGCTTTCATCACATTTAAATAAAACTGTTGGACTGATGTTTCCTTACATTGGGGAATATACTCCACATTATCATGGTTAGTTAATGAATGAAGATAATTTTCTGCCACCTGTCACAATAATTGATGACATAATCCTCCATCTACATTACCGTCTCATCCAACAGAGGCTTATTAGAAACAAAGTCATGTGCCATAGAAAACAACCCTCATTTTCATAATCTATGACTCACTCATCTTCCTGAGGCAAGGGGTTAACTGACTATAAAAATCCAGTTTCCACCCTTGCTGAATTAGGATGCATTTATGGAGTTATATTTTGGCTGGACTAACGAGTCTATGCATAGTCCAACAAAATCGCGAAACAAAATCAACATCTGGTTCGTAAACTGCCATGCAGATTTTGTCCGATTGCAGACTTTACAAAGCATGTGTACCGACAACTTAGCGTCAACAGAATTTTTCCAAATCTTTTCATGTTTTTAATCAAGGTGCTCATGTGATTTGATATACTTCACAAAGTAAGACCTGTTTTATTACAAAATAGATCTTGATTATTGATCAGATCTTCTACAGTGGGTGATGCCATTTTATTTGAAGCAAATGCAAGTGATATGAGAGGTGGTATCTGATTGGTTAATAGGAGGGACATAGAAGGAATATAACTCGTAATAGCCACTGGTGGCGCTATGATTGAGCCCAGCAATACCAGCTTAGTTCGGCAAGGTAGGAAACTGGACTTTTACAGACAGTTAACTCACTTGCCTCAGGAAGATGTGACTCACTCATGCGATCCATCCACCTTCTCTGCACGGCGTAAGTTACGTTCCCTGATTTGTGACCTGTGCATTTCATGCAACGTATGAAGCCGATGTGTGTGTCTCCTCTTGGGAATTTTCCAATAGCATCACAAAACCTTTCTCCCTTACTGTAACGACAAAAGCCGTAAGATATCCTCAAGACTTACCACAGAGGAGATGTTCATCATGAGGAGAATACGAGGTGCAAAGAGGAAGTCTGGCCGGCTGCCGTCCAGTGAGAATGGCTGTTGAACATTCTTCTTTTTGCCCTCGATATCCTAGGAATGAAGTATTAGGCTTGTTAAAATAAACATGTTTCCATGACCTGCCCAAACTTAAAATTGCCCAGTTTTGAGAAAGTCAAAAAGGACAAGAATATTGCTCACCTGGTCCTATTTAGTACACTTACAACATTTGTGGATCTGACTTTTAGTCACGTGAGCTAATAAAGCCTAAGGCTAAAAAAATAATAGTCATGCTTCTCAGGCACCTTCCGCATCATCATAAAGTCCGCTGCACGTTTTGTTTTTATTTCCATTTTAAAAAAATAAAAAATCTGTAAATATTCCGCACCTCGATTACACGACCCTGGCAGTGAAATGCTACAATACTAAGGAACAATAATGATTTCAAAGAAATTATTATAAACCAACTTTGGTTACATACTAGCTTGAACTACCAAAAAAAACAAAAAAAAACGCCTGCCCGCACTATATTTTCAAAAGCCATTGCCTGAGAACCAATCCTTTTTTTTAAGCCTTACGTTAATAGCTTATAGTGCATCACTTAAGCCTAGTCGTAAGATGGCCCTCACCTCTACTGTGACTCTAATACTGTGGATGGCTGTGCTGTAGGACAGGGGGTTCCATTGAAAGACATACAGGGGACCTTCAACATGATGAGCATTGCCAAGGAAACGGTTGTCTATATACACTGACACTGAGTCTATCGTCACTGTGTGGAATATGAGGATCCTGAAATAAACACAAACCATGTCACCAATGACTTGTCTTTATTAGAAGTCTGGATTTCTGAAAGGACAGAACAAAGACAATATACAGTCGAGTCTCGTTAATTCGACACTCGTTAATCCGACAATCAGCTTTATCCGACACTAATGATGGGAACCGATTAAATCAGTGCTATTAAGACCCGTTAATCCGACAGTCTCGCACTCCGTCTCCGACACAGCTAATTTGCAACGAATCAGTCTTGTTAATCCGACACAGTGATCACCATACTCTGTGGTCATCTGCCCGCAAGTACACAGCCTGTGTTATGATGCAAGACGAGTCGGCTGGTTGCTGCATATAACAATGCAGAGATAAACTTGCTTAACAATAAACAATTAATGCTTTAAATAAAGAAAACAGGATTAATCACATACTTAGATTACCTCAATATCATTAAAATCAGATACATGTTCTTGCTATCGCCGAGGACATCCCATTACAGGTGGTCACGTCAGAACAACCTTTCACCAACGATGACCGACCAATGAAATAACTAACAGGAAGTAAACGTTAGCCACTAGAAAGCAGCTCTCTTAGCTTTGCAGTACCAGTTTCAAACTTGCGACTTCCATTCCAGACTATGCTTTTAAAAGTATTTTGAATAAGTCATACAGTCCGTAACAGTTGTTTTGTGTTGAGCTTAAGAAGTTGCATGATTAGAAAACATATTCCATTAACAATGTAACATAACAATATGAATATTTCATTTATATTTTTATTACGTGTTTGTATCGTTATCCATCATGTAGTTGTCCGATTTTCGATCACGAACGTTGATACTACTTCATTTTGTTTATCCGACATACTCGTTAATCTGACATAATCATATGCAACCAACAATGTCAGATTAACGGGACTTGACGCCCTTTTGTAAAATACATGGCAACATATTCAGGGAAGCTTTTGAAGAACATAAAAAGTGCCTTTTTCTCATCTGTTCTCAGATACCTGATATGTGTTGACCCCCTCTGTCTGTACAGAGGTTCGTGAGACTCGGCCTGGAACAGGGCATCCTTGGGGTTGGTGATGATGACAAGCGGCCACTCTCCCAGGCTGGCATCAAGGAAGGACATGATGTCGTGATCAAACACCAGGATACGGAATCTGCACGACAAGCACACACAAATACAAAACCCCTGTGCATAAACAGGGCTCAATTTAGCTGTATAATACATGCACAAGTACAACCTAGCTGAGAAAAATGCAACCTAATATTTATGTCTACATGCACTAAATGCATGTCAAAAATATTAAATTTGTGTCTGACTGACCCTTATTTGTCCACACAATTGACCTTTGAACACACCCAATACCCGTAAAGTTTTTTTCACCATACCACATCAAGAATCCCTGTGTTATGTGTAATTTGTCATGCTTTCTTAGGCGTAATGTCATCAAACTCTGGGTCCTTTAAGGTTTGGTGCCTATTACATTCTTTAACAATGACCGGCCTATGTTTCAACTTTATAAGGTCATGGGACCAGACCGCAACCTGGTTTTGTTTGATGCAACTTGGTCCTTTACGGTTATGTGCCTATTACATTTTACAACAATGTGTCATTAATTTATGTGACACTGGCAGCAGACCGGCCTATATTTCAACTTGATAAGGTCATGGGACCAGACTGCAACCTGGTTTTGTTTCATGCAACTTTGTTTTCATGTCAACATGCACTTGGTGCAAGTGAAATAAGCCCTGATAAAGTAACACCAGCATTCAGGCATTTCCACAGTGAACAACTGACAGCCATTTTCTGTTGACCTCTGCCATTAATATATTAGGATGTTCTTCCTTAGTATCTAGGGCTGGGGCGAGTCCAAATTTACTACCCAGGTACCCACCCCCATATTACCCGACCCTACCCGGTACCAACTGTAGGTCTCAGGATATGTCTCAAAATGTCAGACTGGGAACATTTTTAGCATAGTCCTGGCAAAACGTATTTAGATACATGTATTAAACAATCTGGTCATTCATACACTGAAGTTGAATTAAGTTATAACTTTATTAAACCATACGAAAAATCAGAAGGAATGGATGCATAGTTAGTGACTTGTAGTGTAACCATAGAGTTCCAGACATTTTTGTCATTAAACAATATATCACGGGACTAACCACGGGTCCGGGTAGTCCTGTGGATACCCGGGTCCTATTCAGTACACACCCGACCCGGATACCCGAGTTACCCGTCCCAGCCCTATTAGTATCAGTGTCAAAGTTTTAAGGTTTCGGTCTGGATCACTGAATTGTAGGCTGATAAATGTTTAAGAGTGTAAAACACATTTCTTTTAATTACAGGTGATGAAAACATACTGCATGATGATTGAAATGTGCTCCATATTGTGTAATGAGGAAGTTGTTTGCAAGCTCTTATTGAACTTCTATGTTTGAGTGTTCAGATGTGGCTTTCATATTAAGTGTCAAGGTTTAAATCATATTAAACCAAACAAATGCATGCAGAAAACATTTGTTCTACCAACAGAAATGTATCCTGTATTTTTCATCTTCCCTATATTGACAGCTTCAAACAAATATGGGACCAAAACCAAGTCATATTTCATTACTGAAACAAGTTGTTTTCCTTTAAGTTCTAATTTATTTATGTTATTCCACATTCATCAATTTTTGGTTAGGTGGAATCTGTAAACACAGTAAATAAAAATAATGCTGTATGCGTTTTTGGTTTAAGATTCATACCTGTGATTTTTAGAGTTAATTTTTAGAATTTCTATTGTCAAAATCCTGATTTCATCCTGCGTTCAATACTTACATCCTGTTGTCCTTCCAATCTCCCAGTTCCAACTCCAGCATGCCGGTCTTGTGTCGAGTGTACATGTTCGGCATCAGGCCGTTCAGGGTGTGCAGGTGGCCACAAAGGTAGACAATCCCTCGCCTGTGCACAACAAAGTCGATATACATGGATGGGGGAATCAGACTGATGTCCATGAATCGTCATGGTTATTCCCATGTTGGAGAAACATCATGGTTGAAACCACTGAGAGAGTTTGGTTTAATGCTGCTTTGAACTCTATCCCATTCATATCACGGCATGTCATCTTGATGTGGGATGAAAGCCGAAAGTAATGCTGGTCTTAAATGGTTACCACTATGGTGAAACTCATTACCACTGATATGGTGCTGGCAAACTTACAGAAATATATTCAGGGCGATTCTGGGATTCAACCTCAAATTTAAAGGTGAGGAGAAATGGGGCTTAACGTCGCGTTCAAGATTCATAATCAGAGAGATTCTCAGATTTGCACCCCTGATCATTTACTATCTACAGATAAGTGACAAACTGTTTACTATCTACAGATAAGTGACAAACTGTTTACTATCTACAGATAAGTGACAAACTGTTTACTATTGAGATTCAACAGTAAACAGCTAATTATGACAACAACACCACTGGGCTACCTATGTCTGTCTGAGTATACAATGACACCCAAAACATAATAGAAACAGTGGAATATAACTCTCACTGTGGTCATTCATCTGATGCTGCAGTTAGTCCATTAACACTGTGAGCAGCTCCATCTTACACTGCACTAACACTGTGGTGATTCCATCTTACACTGCACTAACACTGTGGTGATTCCATCTTACACTGCACTAACACTGTGAGCAGCTCCATCTTACACTGCACTAACAATGTGCTGATTCCACCTTACACTGCACTAAGACTGTGGTGATTCCATCTTACACTGCACTAACAATGTGCTGATTCCACCTTACACTGCACTAACAATGTGCTGATTCCACCTTACACTGCACTAAGACTGTGGTGATTCCATCTTACACTGCACTAACACTGTGCTGATTCCACCTTACACTGCACTAACAATGTGCTTATTCCACCTTACACTGCACTAAGACTGTGCTGATTCCACCTTACACTGCACTAACAATGTGCTGATTCCACCTTACACTGCACTAAGACTGTGGTGATTCCACCTTACACTGCACTAACAATGTGCTGATTCCACCTTGCACTGCACTAACAATGTGCTGATTCCACCTTACACTGCACTAAGACTGTGGTGATTCCACCTTACACTGCCCTAAGACTGTGGTGATTCCACCTTACACTGCACTAACAATGTGCTGATTGCACCTTACACTGCACTAACAATGTGCTGATTCCATCCTACACTGCACTAATACTGTGGTGATTCCACCTGACACTGCACTAACACTGAGTTGATTCCACCTGACACTACACTAATACTGTGCTGATTCATCTTACACTGCACTAATACTGTGGTGATTCCATCCTACACTGCACTAATACTGTGCTGATTCATCTTACACTACACTAATACTGTGCTGATTCCATCCTACACTGCACTAATACTGTGGTGATTCATCTTACACTGCACTAACACTGTGGTGATTCCACCTTACACTGCACTAACACTGTGGTGTACCACTGACTGACTGTTGTTCTTACCTCATGATGTGCTTGACACCTGGTGGATCCTGCACTATGAGGGAGGTGGGGTAGTGACCAAACCACACAGTCTGATTACTGTCTTTCGTTTCATCTGTATGTCTCTGAAGCTCTGTCACACGATCCTGAAATTATTGCACAGCTGAATGCTCTGGCACAATGGGGGGTCGTCATGTGGTTCACATGCAGTCTAAATCCCCATAATATACTCCAAACAATTCACATTATACAATAGTGTCAGCAAGGTGAAAGTACTGAGTTACACAGGCAGCTGGGCTGTGCGTTGGTGTGCAAAGTAACAAACTGTTTACTATCTACAGATAAGTGACAAACTGTTTACTATCTACAGATAAGTGACAAACTGTTTACTATTTACAGATAAGTGACAAACTGTTTACTATCTACAGATAAATGACAAACTGTTTACTATCTACAGATAAGTGACAAACTGTTTACTATCTACAGATATGCTCTTCATGGATTTTGTTTTTATTTGTTTGTTGTTTAACGCCGCTCTCAGCAATATTCCAGCTATATGACGGCAGCCTGTAAATAATCGAGCCTGGACCAGACAATCCAGTGATTGACATCATGAGCATTGATCCACGTGATTGGGATCGATGACATGCATCAACCAAGTCAGCGAGTCTGACCACCCGATCCCGTTAGACGCCTTGTACGACAAGCATAGTCGCCTTTTATGGTAAGCATGGGTTGCTGAAGACCTATTCTACCCCGGATCTTTACCGGTCCGCTGCTCTTCATGGAACTCAAGTATATGGTCACTTAGACATAGAAAGGACTCATGACAGTTCTTTATCAGGATTTAAAAGACAGCTACGAGATAAATTGCAAAGAACAAAGAGGGATGAAGCATGGTTTACTTCACGATAAACATTGTTCTCATGACATCATTTCTGGAGATTTGAACATGCGTTCGCATTTGATGAAATCGTAAATTAGACGATGTTATTTTTGAGAGGGAAGTGTCAAGTGGGTTGTTCCCCATATATGCAGCTCGGAGACGTAATTAAACGCAATGGCTGAACAATAGCACCCAACAGTGGGAGAGATATGACAATCAGTATTGGATAAAAGGTTCAGATACTAAAAATTATGAGAATATCTGGGAAATACCAAACATAAGCCCCCTTTCATAAAATGGACTTGCCTGACATTGCCGAGGGGAGATTGTATTCAGGGAGTCATCATTATTTAAAAACAGGTAAATATTTTTAAAAATTGTACAAATTATTAATATCAATAAAGAGGCTGTGCATAATGTTGATGTATCATATAAGAAATAATCGACTCATGCAGTGCCCCTTATGGTTTATTCTCCCTGCAGTGTTTTATCGTACAATAAACTCCCACTTGTCATTTACTTCTAAAATAAAGGAGCAACTGTGAGAGCAATTAGACTCCGTTCTTGTAACTGCAACTTGAGGTTGTTTTGTACAAGGGGGCCAAAGCCATAAGACTCTGCACTGACTTGAGGTGAGGTGAAATGGGGTTTAATGTCGTGTTCGAGATTATTGCACTCATATATAATGATGTGCCTGCACATGTGTGTGCATGTGGCTGCATGTACTTAGGTCTAATCATATAAAAAAAAGCAAAAATTTTGCTGATGCAAGCAGTTCCTTGAAGTCAAAGAATTCTTTTTAATTGAGTTAGTTAGTATGGTTTTACACTGCTTTTATCAATATTCCTGCAATATCTATAGGCAATGCTAAAAGCAGCGTAAAACCATACTTATACTCACTCTTCTTTAGACTTACGTCATTCAGCTGACCAAAGAAGTTGAATGGCCTGCGAGGGCCTGGATCTGGACATGCGTCCACGGAGATGAAGGAGTATTTGCCGTACTTGGTGGTGTGAACATACTTGTAGGATGTCGTGTGCTCCAGGCCCTGCGCCGAGTACTGTCTGAAACCAACAAGATCCACAACAGAGATGCAATGAGTGAATCAATACAGGACAGACATTAATTTTTAACCCACAAAAAAATTACTATTATACTTTTTTTGGTTCACCATTGGGCAATAAAAAATAATGATTAATTTTCTTCCTGCATCACTTCCAAATACACACATACTCACCATTGTATCATCCTACAGATGAAGTAAATTGCTGAGTGTATCCCTTCTTTCCTTACTTGACAAAATACACCATAAGATTTGCCCATGTCCACTAGCAGACTACTATTTCCTGATTGATTAATAATAGAGAGGACAGGGCTTGTATTGCATTATTAAGCCAAGCGATGTCACTCATTTCATATTGTTGTCTACAGTTATTTGTGTTAATGATTAAATTATCATTGTTCCCATGTCCATATACAGCATGCACATCACTTTTCACATTTATACCTCCATTAGCGCTACAAATATTGCAGTCAGTTCTTAAATAATTGATTTATTGTGAACTATGATTCGAAGGACATTTACACTATATCTGGTTGAAGGTAATTACATGCAAAGTAAGAAACAGTGGAGCCTGTATCAAGGGACATGATGAAAAAGTTACGGATCACATCAAACCTGCTCCCTCTCTGACTACAACTAACCTACTTCTTCTTCAGATTAAAATTAATGTTGTACAACACATATCTGCAAGGAATCCAGAAACCTCATCAAAAAGATTACAACTATTTTCTCTTGTTCAATGTATACTTTAGCATTCAACATGTTTACCGACCTGTACAAGTTCTGTTGACTTTGTAGATCTGGCACATCAAATGCATCTGAAAAAAAATTTGAAACTAAACAAACTTTAGCATTTATGCAAATTCAGAAAACAGTAATGTTGCTCCCATTCATTTCCGTGTCGTATTATTCTGGTATTATTCTGTTTGTCATATTCATGATAGATGTAGCAGGTATCTATAGTATGTCTCTGACTTGCAATTGTTTAGGTGAGGTGATGTGAAATGGGTTTTAACATCACATCCAAGATTATTGCACTTAAGTGCATGCACATGTGTCTGTGTGTGGCTGCTTGAACCAGTACTAGTGCTGGCCCACTGAGATACCATGCCGCAGTTTAACATGAATACCCCACTCAGACACAGTATACTGACTCTGAGCTTACCAGTCCTTGTTTTAGCCCCTAAATGTCGAGTGCCAGGCAGGGTAACAACAAGTACCATCTTTTAATGTCTTTTAGTATGATGCGGACGGGGATCGAACCCCCGACCTTCCACTCTCTAGACGGATGCTCTACCATTCGACTACTGAGATGGCTGGCCTAGCAAGAGATGGAAATGAGTGATCTATAATCTGTTATCTCAAAGATGACAAGTACCATCTTTGAACCTCTTTTGGTATGACATGGCCAGGGATCAAACCCATGAACTTACGCTCTCCTCTCTACCCAGGTCCACCTCTGAGGTGGACCTTTGCATTTAAGATTAATGTATGCACATGCACATTAGAATAAGATTTTGTTTGTAGAACCCATATATATATCAACCAATGCTTTTTTTAAAGAAACCTGTAAACTATGCGATAAAACAACCTCTGTAAGTTTATCTTGTAAAACAATGTGACATAACGTTTTGAGAGGTAAAAAACAAAAAAACAACAACATTGTTTCGGTTCACGTAACACGAATAATTCATAAAAATCGTCAGTGTAGGCTTTCTGTTTGATGGAGCAAGACACCCTTTTACTGTTTTTTGTCGTCAACCAATATTCGCTGTCTTTACAGACGTAACCTGGACCAATATTCATGGTCCTTATAAATGTAAAGTGTGTACTTGCTCCTATAGTAAGTGGTTCATTCCTACATTTGTGGTCATGTACCTAACACAGTTTCTTTATTTATATTTATTCATGTTTAGTTACCCATATGTCATCAAAAGAGAATCACGTTTAATTACCCATATGTCATCAAAAGATAATCATGTTTAGTTACCCATGTCATCAAAAGAGAATCACATTTAGTTACCCATATATCATGAAAAGAGAATCACGTTTAGGTTCTCATGTCATAAAAAGAGAATCACTTTTAGGTATCCATATGTCATCAAAATAGAATCATGTTTTGTTACCCATGTCATCAAAAGAGAATCACGTTTAGTTACCCATGTCATCAAAAGAGAATCAAGTTTAGTTACCCATATGTCATCAAAAGAGTATCACGTTTAGTTACCCATGTCATGAAAAGAGAATCACGTTTAGTTACCCATATGTCATCAAAAGAGAAAATCACTTTTAGTTACCCATATGTCATCAAAAGAGAATCACGTTTAGTTACCCATATGTCATCAAAAGAGAATCACGTTTAGTTACCCAGTAATTGTATAATTTCAAGTGGAGTTAGAAGGACGGAAGGTAGACATGTGATCGTCGCCTTCCACTGCGTAACATAAAGTTATAACAAGAGTTTTCTCAATTTCAAAATGAAGAATGAAAGCTATGGGGTTCCTTATGTCCAAATGTAAAGGTGCGTCTAGACTCAAATGCCCCTAGTTTCAAAGACTGCTTTGTCCAGTGATCACCATGGTTTCCCCTGATGTCCAGCCATCTGGCGTTGTGGAACTTGCTACATTCCCTCATGGTCTTGTGGTACTCCTCCCACTCTGCCCGATACTGGCGTGATCCTCGGCCATCTTTTTCCTTCGCATCAACAAGATCCCCTAGAAAATGGAGAATGGTGTTTTACTTCATGGTTGTACTACAGCTATATATATATATATATGTCTGCTTCTGGAATAAGGCCAGGTCAGGCAAATCAGTGGATGATCTAAAACACAACACCCAAGAACAAACACATTGCTTATCCAGTGTGCTATATCTCCATTCCATCAGATACGGTACCATAGCTTCATTTTCAACTGTATTCAACAAACATGCCACTACAAATACATGTGTAATCAGAATAGCGAGAATACATAGAGGTGATCACGCTTGTGTGTTTGGGGATGGTAAATATCCTGCATTAGGAAAAAACATTGTATTTAGCAAGCCTTGGCGAGCTAAATACATAGTGTTTATTCCTAATACAGGATATTTACCATCCCCAAACACACAAGCATGATAAACTCTTTATCATATAATGTCATTCTTTAATTCTGTGCTTCAAAATTGCTTTCCCCTCTCTCACAAACATTACCGAAACATTGCGAGTTTTCCTGGAATGCGCGCATTAATATTTATTACGTCATAGGGTAAATGATGTGTCAGTCGGACAGTGACAGTAGCCAATATAGTTCCAACTGGAATCTGTTTCTTATCCAGTGGCAAGCAACATATACGCAAAACAACAATTGTTTTTAATGGCCTTTTGTGGCAATCCATCGGTCTGTCCGCTAGAGTAACTGCCCTTTGTCAAAGGGAAGCTACTCTGACCCTAGTCTATGAGACGTCACGGCCATGGTCAGACGTTGACAGTCGGTCTGTCCTGTCATAACGTTAAGAAGTGTAGTCAGATGTACACACAGCGACAAAACGAAACAAGGTAACAATAATTATAAAATGCCTTAGCTACGTAACAGTTAGACACAGATTTTCAGTATATTAGACTGTTCTTTTGATAATGATAGCAATTTTCCCTGTAGTTTATCCAGATTCCCGATGGTTAATTCTGACTCAATCGCCGAATGACGAGGGCAACGCCATGTTTGTTTATAAACAGTGAAAGTAGTCCCTACTTGACCTTTGATATTTGCATCTCTATCCGCATATGACCCCAACGGATATAGTTTTTATCCGTTGGCTTTATCCTGCCGAAAAACCTACCCATTTTATGATAAACAATTATGAGTGAGAGAAATCCTGGCTAACTTAGTGAGAAGAGAGAGGGAGATGGTGATGCCACTTCCAAAAGGAAGCTTTGGTCCAGAATGGGTTCATTATGACAGAATGGAGATATTATTCCGTGGTTAATCAAGGATGAAAAAAGATAAACGTAGAATATGTCTCGAGGCAATGTAACCCAATGCATAGATCCTCACCTGTGGCCAGCACAATGTCAGGTTTGATCACACTCAGGTAGTCTCTGCAAAATCTCACTACATCTGGCGCTCGTTGTTTGTCATAAAACTTGCTGATGTGGAAATCTGAAATCTAAAACAGTCATCAGTGTTTATTATCAATGATTGTTTACCAAACAACATACCAGTGCTGTTTTATCACACACAAAATACCTTGCAGATATCTTACAAGTTTAAATTGATAACCAATAGAAATATGTACATGAGCATTTAACATTTGTTGAAGTTCTCAAAGTTAATATTTTAATCTTTCTAAAAATGATAAAGGGTAATTTTGTGAGTTATTGTATAGTCATTAGTGTTATTTTATAAATAACACATTTTTTAATGGTCTCATACTGGTCTGCACTGATAGATACAGAATGTTGTTTTATTCAAACATATATGCTGTCCTTTTCAGACACTTAACATCTACACAATCTTAGTGTTTTAGTTTCATGTCTACTATGAAACCTAATCACCCTGTACCTTCCCTTGCATACTTCAAGTCAAACGACACATGAGATTATTGATGAGATATCGTGCTATCTATATAAGTTTATCACCATTCATCGGTTAATTCTTGCCTGATGCAATCCATTGTAAATATTGCCACGTCTTTTCTGATGCAATAAGACCAGATTTTTTTCATATGTTGGTTTTACTTTTGGGGGAAAATCCTGGTCAGCATGGTCAGTAGTTCAAAAACAATTCAGATAGTTCTATTTTTTTTCATGTTGCCATGTGGGCAGAGGTTGTTCCACTTGCAGTTTAATCTATTGCTATTGCATGGACATACTTTTGTAGGGAACATGTAAATTACAGTCAGCAGGGAAAAATAGTCCTTTTCTGGGGGTTTTATTTGTCAATTGTCTTCCCTATGATTTGAAACACCTTTAGCATGTTTAGTTCTAAACATTTAAAGGTGTAAGATAATATTGCATATTACATACCAAAATTCTCAGATTGTTTAATGATTGCAACCAATTTAAGGCTAAACATTCTACTTTGAATGACAGACAAAACTATTTATTAGTATAACTGAGAAAGGAAATGCAAATTAGCATATATAGAAAAATTGGATAATGTGATAAACATGGATCATGGTAGCAAATCAGGGTGGCATATTATGAAGTATTATTGTAAACAAACAAAAAGACTGAAAGGATATTTTCCTCACATAGAAGAAAATGATGTTGTGTATGAAGATGATATTAATAAAACAAATATATAGAATAAGTCCTTCGTAGGCATTGCAACTGTTGATAATCCCAATGATGAAATTCCAAATGATATTTTGGAAAACGTTGACTTTTGTGTTCAGAGAAAAGGTCTCCAAAAATCTGAAGTTAGAGACATTTTGTTATCTCGATGTTTCCAAAGCAACAGGGCCTGATAACATTAGTACTTGTATCGTAAAATATTTAGCAGAACAATTATCAGTTCCTTTAAGTAATTTCATTAATTCCTCTATATTAACTTCACATTTTCCAGATAATCTGATATATGGAAATAGTGCATGGTTCCCTCTTGAAATCGTTTGAAAGTTATTTAAATAATAGAAAACAACTGACTGTAATAAATGGGTTTGAATCTAATATAAAAACAGTAAACACAGGAATCCCACAGAGGTACGGTCTTAGGACCAATAATATTTTTGGGATTCATTAATGATAAAGTGAATAATATTCAGTGCCATAAGAAGTTATTTACTGCCGATACATCTCTATAAGTAATTATTGATGACCCTGATTCATCAACAATATCTTAAAATACAGATTTAGAATCGACAGCAAAATGAGCAAAATAAAATAAAATGAAATTCCAACAACAGCAAGTACAATGCCAGATCTATTAATGAACAATATCAAGATTGAATCTGTTAATGCACACAAACATCTTGGACTAACTCTGCAGACTGATGGTCAGTGATAGATGCATATCAATAATATTATTGCCAATGATCAACTGTTTAAGAAGCTTGAAATACCATCTTCAAAGGAATAGCTTCTAAACTGTATATAGCTCATTCATTTTACCAATATCAGATTATGGTGATTACATCTGGAATAACTGTACAAAGAAACAAGACATGTCGCTTGAAAAACTTTATTATTCATTAAGAACCATATGTGGATCTGCAAGAGGAGTGTACCAAATCTATAATGAAATGGGCTATTCATTTCTAAGTGGCTGTCACTTAACTCATAAAATACTGTACTCAGTGTAATAAGCGCCCAGGGCAAAATTAGGAATAGGGGGCTCTTAAAAGAATATTATTTTGGTGAAAAAAACGGAGTTGAAAGATAAATTTCGTGGTTTATGTTGACAGCCTGAAATGTTTATGTACGACAGATATATTTTTCCAGAATTCAATTGCCCATAATTGAGGGTGCATTTAACACACATGCGTATTATACGCAAATAAATAAGTCATGTGTACATTGATCAATTGGAAGGGGTGCTAATTGGGATCGTTCATTAGCCAATATATTAGCAAATATCGCCGTGGGCGCTTATTACGTCGAATACGGTATGTGACTTTCATAAAATGTTTTATAAAAGAATGCCAGATTATCATATGCTACAAGGTACTCCACCCTACTCCAAATTCCACTTTGTCGCACAGAAACATACAAAAAATCGTTTTGATCATCTACTGTATGCAACTGGAATATATTGGATGACACTCTACGATGAATAGACTCTTTGCCTTTATTTAAAAACACTTATGATAAAAACATACAAAGCAATGTATATCACATCTTCAAAACATATGGAACTAGAGTTAATCAGATTATTCATTGTAAACTTTGACTTGTACACAAATGTAATTCTTTCATTAGTGATATTTCAACTTGTAGCTGTGGATTTTACTGTTTCATTATCTTTTGCAGTGTTCAAATTTCAGCCATGTGAGATCTACCTGTTTTTGCTGCGATAAGGTATATGGTATAACAGCTGTATTGTTTGGTAATGCAGACTTGCCAGATGCATTAAATTTTAAGATAACTGAATCTGATTATTCACCCAAACAGATCGCTTTCGTAACAAATTTTACATGTTTATACAAAACAAGCAATGTGTGTAAAAATTATGTTTTACTCTCTATAATCTAAGTCAAGCTAACTAATACTATGTACCATATACACTGTTGTCTATAGCATGATTTGAAAATTGTATTGATCATATGTGGGTACTGGAGAGGTCTTCAAATAGGTATTATGCCTGTTGACCAATCCAGGTTTTCATTCATGGAAACAAAAATATTGTTTAAACTACACTATTTACATTAGGTGTCTTACATTATTAATCTTTATAGTACATTTTTGTATTTGCCCTGATTTGTCAATGCAGTGCATAGTTCATGTACTTAAGACTTAATATGATGTTAAGACGCTGAAAGAACACGTTGAATTCATACAATGAAGTCTTTCTCATTTGTGTTATGGTTCCAGTATAATGGTTTAAGAAGTAAGATAAATAACTAACAAAAAATAACTAATTTCAGTTGTTTGGGGAATGTGTCTCAACGACTTTTTCTGGGGATCTCCTTATCACCAGCTGATGCAATGTTTGAACTGACACTCTTTCAGCATTTGTTCAGTTGTAGCATGTTTATCTCAATAGTCTATTTGCATGAGTGATTGTCATCACAACGTTATGCACATTTCTAATCAACATACATTCAACTACTGTGAATCATTATGTCAGATTACGCACCTGTACAACCCAAAACACTCTATCATACTTATCACCCATTTTTTCTTCATTCTTCTCAGCATCATTTTGTTTGGCAACGTGATCGTTCCCAGTTCTTGAATCAATTAAATCCACGATAAATGCACACATAACAGCTATGCCAAGGAGGTACACAATGAGTAAATGTAACAGTCGCATTTCAAACCCGTAAGTCCCCTCATGTAGAGAACACTAATGGGTTAATATTTCGTCAACTGATTTTAGCAGACACCATTGCTAACAAATCAAAGGGAGGTAATTCTTGAAAATACACATACACTTGCCATCCACGAAAGAATGACGTGGCTTGTCATACGACATGTTATCCTGAACTATAAATAGACGTATATTACTCAGTTCTGTTTAAAGTAACAGTATTACATCGACAGCAGCCCTTCTGTCCTGAAAAATATTACTTTTTATGAATATATAAGTCGACAATAAATTATTATACTTCTTCAATGTTCAACCTTCGACGATTCATACAAGAAATATTGATTTTGAACACACGAGGTTTGGGTTCAAAATAGTTTTTGTATAGTCATTTGAGTCCGTCTACATATTTACAGGTTGGTTAGTTTTGGCAGAAACAAAAAAGAAAGACTTCTAAATAATTATTTCCGTAAGAGGCTCTTGAATGCCAAATCCTTTAGTTTAAAGACTCTGTATTCACGACTCTCTTAAGCTCACACTCAACTAATCCCTTGTAAAGTAATGTGTTTGTCATAGTTTTTCATGTATAAAATTGTTATTTTCACAAAAAGAACTAATGCTATAACTGTGTCTTTCGGAATGATAATCATTTTTATTTCAGTGTTCGTTTAATAGTTTAAATAGCTACCGATGAGGAAAAACATGGAGTAAATTATTAATTTTCTGTAATGGATAATGCTAATGTTGTTCATTAAAGTACATTTTAAAAAACATTTTAATAATAACCAAAATGTACGAACACACAATGCCATTTAGAAAGTGGTCAAATGTAACAGATACTTGGTTGGTTGCGTTTCACCGTATCCTGACGCCACGGGACGTGCTCATAACACCAATTACTGGTTTGTCCGATCCCGACTCAATTAATTACAGTACATAGTTCACTAGTGGATTGATCCAATCATCCCACTGGTGTTGAAGACTTCCCCCTGGTAATGTAAACGTCCTCCGCAGTTGACATTACGTCATTATCGTCTGCGTGATGCCTGCCAGACAGTTCTTTCTTCATGCTTGGGAGGAGAGGGATATCTGACTGTGCCAAATCTGGTGACTGCAGAAAATGTTCAAAGTGTCCAAAGCCACAGTCATGCATTGAAGCCATGGCGACAAGCCGACAACAGACTCGTGCAAAGGTGCATTGTCCTGATGAAATAACGCACCTCTATTGGGTGTTCCACAACGTTTAGCTGTCAATTGATCTTCCCACGCAGCTGCCTAAACTGATTAGAATAATATTGACCATATATGGTCTGACCTCTCGGAAGGCCCACCAGGAAAACGAAGCCATCACCTTGCCAGATGATGGAACAGACTTTGTCTTCTTCGTCGGAGATGTCAGATGTCTCCACCGCTTTGATTGTGGTTTAGTCTCTCGGCAAATGGTGACCCTGAAGCGTGCTAAAACCTTTTGTCACGCTTAATTCATTCCTCAGGACGTTATCAACACTCCCATGAGAGATTCGTACTGTATATGATATGTGACGCGTGTTGATTCGCTGATCATCCACATTTTCCTTTGTGAGGGCTGTTGAAGGTCTTCCTGGTCACGTCATGCCGAATACCCGGGTTAAATTCCCCACATGGGTACAATGTGTGAAGCCATTCTGGTGTCCACCGCCGTGATATTGCTGGGATATTGCGAAAAGCTGCGTAAAAACGAACTCACCCGCTCACTCTTCCTGACCATGGATCATCGTCGAGGCTCTCTCTTCCCCTCTTGAAGTCTGCTGCCCAAATTTAACAGTGGCAAGGGAATGCGCTTCATCCCAAGTGAAGTTTACATCATGTCCGCGTGGATGGATATGTTATAGTTTCTGTTGAAGATACTTGATGACAGCGTGGTAGCCAACTGTGTCCATTTCCATCAATTTGACACAGAATACCTAGTCACATTGATGCACGTAGGACCTTGCTGCCAGGATTTGGGTTTCCATGCAGCGTGTAAGCATGAGAAGGGTTGTACTCCATACCTGTACATACAAACTGCAAGGGCGTACTATACGTCCTTCGTAGTTAGGCTCAGAATGTTTCAGCAACTCGTCTTATACAGCGTGTCTTTCGGAAAAGGAATTTGTGACAAATAAATATGTTAAACTGCCCTGATCTCACGTTATATCAACATAATAACTGTAAAGAATGAGCCTTGGCTTATCGTTTCACCCAACCTACATCCACATGACGCAGACGAAAGAACTCGAGTCAGGTTACATACATGTATACAAGACGACTGGTCCCCCTGCACGGATGGCCCAGTCGTCTAAGGCGCCGCGATTCACCCTGCAGAGTTGCGTCCCTTGGGCACGCCAGAAACCTATGATCGTGGGTTCCAATCCCGGTTCGCTCCGATTATGTTTCTAGGTTTGTCAGCACCATAACTGTGCTCGTGGGTTTCACCGAAGTGGTAAAAGTCTGAAACCTGCCCTTCGGGCTTTCCTCCCACATTAAGCTGACACGTCGTGATATAAGTGGAATAGTGTTAAAAGCGGTGTTAAACCCAACTCACTCATTCACTGTTCGTTGGTGCTCGTCAGATATATAATCACTCCCCCCTATCCCCCACCCCCTACCTTACTCACTCACTCACAAGAAGGGGTGAAAGGTGACTTTATAAAAACGCATTTTATGAACCGAACACCTATTTCTTTCAATGATGTAACTGTCACAGAGCTGGGGTTTCCTCTCGTTTGGAAGCTCAGTCCGGCGATGGTAGACAAAACTCGGGTGAAGTTTAAGACGCCAGGTGTATTGCATCTTCCCATGGCAAGAGAGTTAACTGACTATAAAAGTCCAGTTTCCACCCTTGCCGAACATGGCTGGAATTACTGGGCTCGATCGTAGCGCCACCACTGGCTTTTTCCAGGTATGTCCCTTCTAAACCTCTCCTATGGACCAATCAGATTCCACCTCTCGTATCACATGCATTTGCTTCACACAAAATGGTGGCGCCCAGTCAAAACGATCTGATCGATAACCAAGACCTATATTGTGATAAAACGGGTCTTACATCGCGAAATGCATCAAATCACGTGAGCTTCTTGATTAAAAACATGAAAAGATTGGGAAAATATCTGCTGACAAGGAGTTGGCGGTGCACATGCTTTGCAAATCCTGCAATCGACCGAAATCTGCACGACAGTTTACGAACCGGATTTCGATTTCGGTGCGCGAATTTGATTGGACTATGCGTAGACTCGTTAGTCCAGCCAAAATGTAAATCCATAATACCAGCCTAGTTCGGCAAGGGTGGGAACTGGACTTTTATAGTCAGTTAACTCTCTTGCCTCGGGAAGATGGGTGTATTGTTGCGGGCTGCGAAGGGTCGAAATGGTATACAAGTACAGTGGTGGTAATCACGTGACAGGACGGTCACCGGGATGGTGTGGGGATTCGGACTTCTCTTATACGCATGCATGAAGTTGGACGGCGATTCCTCGCCAGTGACCCGCCTACATGTACACCTGTGTCAATATAGCTTCATTGAGAGGCATTTAGAAGTTGGAGTACTAAGTACTCGCTCCTACTTGTAACAAAGAAGTTGTTCATCCATTAATCTTATCCTCACGTGTTAATGTAGACTTTTATAGATAGCACTCGGGATTAAGGATCCTGCTCAGAAGGGGATTTATGTTTAGAAGGGATAAGTGGAATGTTTGCTGAACATATTAAAAAGACAAAGGAGATAGAATTTCGTTCCACTTTGGAAGTATCTTGAAAGAATTTAGGTATTTTGATAAATGGAAGTTTTTAAAAACACCTATAGAAGTAGTTTTCACTATGACAATAAACATGAACGTCGCTGAATACTGTATGGGATATTCTCGCGATCTCGACCTTTGGAAACGAGCTAAGTATGACCCAAACACGAGAATGCGAGATTTGGCCAAAATCTCGCGATCTCGCATTCTCGTGTTTGGGGCATATTTAGCTCGTTTCCAAATGTCGGGATCGCGAGAATGTCCCTTACAGTTTTCAATACATGACAGACAGACACATACTCTATACACGTCTCACCTCATGTACAGCAATATTATACATAACAGGCATTTACAGATAAAGCACATGCATAATTCCTTGTGGAATTGTGGCTACATATAAATATGTACACTTCTAAATACTTTACAATAATTATATATTTTTAATAATTATTATGTACAAATAAAAAGTACCCGAACATACTACAAGCTTCGGCGACGAGATAAGATAAGAAAAGAAAGAGGGTTTTGTCATTAGAAATAAAAGCGACAAAAGACTAAAGTTTCCATAATCATACGGAATCTCTGCTGAAAGCAGTTTCGATTGTATGATTCCGACTATATCATGAGCACGTGTTTATGAATCTGACTGATGATACCCCGTGTTCGCGAAAAGGTGAATGGTATCCTGCGCCACAGGTGTCACCGGTCATAAATCCATACAAACGAGTTCATCGGAAGAAAACATAGGAACATATGCTAAAAGTCAAAATAGCGATACTAACAAATTCACATACCTAATTTATAACATACCTTATATGTACGTTCATGTTCATCAGAATTCGTATATATACAGTATCATGCTGAGAGTTCCAACAAAACGTTCACATATAGACCTGGCCGTGGCAGCCCCCAATCCCAACCCCCACCCCAAAAACAACAACAGCTAGACAAGATAGTCCTATTACATTTATTGCACTGCGTAATTAGATTCAAATCTGCCCGTCATCAAAAGAGAATTCAGTTCAAAAACAGGAAGGCGAATTTCTAACATCTACTGTTAAAGCCGGGGCTCTGTGCAGCCTGCCTGAAAGCGTCCGGTGGAAGATGTGACCATCACAGCTTACCATAGGCGGCAAAGATTGGGGTAGGCTAGGCACCACTAGGGACTGTTTGCGCGCCAATGGTGTTACGCCATGTTTACAGACGAAATAGAGTTTTGCCTTAGGATCACAGATGGCAGAAATCGTTGTTGGCGACGTAGCGGCGAGCGGTATAGTATGCCAGGGCAACACTTGTTTGTCATGATCGGCACGGGGACGCTAGTGTCAT